AAGGAAAGAAAGATAGATAGAGAGAGAGAGAGAGAGAGAGAGAGAGAGAGAGTGCAAATTGCAACCTGTTCAACAGCTTGTATCTTACAAGCATAAGGCGCGCATATGCAAGAGAATTAACGTCCTAAAGCTGTCAAAGGCAAGAGGATTTAATGCCGAGGACCATTCATGGGAATTAAGCAAATTAATGCAAAGAAAAGAAAGATTTGGTTAAGAAATATTAATTAGAAGGCTTTGTAACAGTGATAATTGCTTAAAAACCTTGCTTCTTGGGTTAGTTCCCACTCCTCACTCCCATAATGTATAATTAGCTGTTTTCATGTCACAATAAAATACATAGAAAACTGATAATAATAATCGACTCTTTTAATAAATTGTTGAATAATGTTAATAATAAATGCTATTTATACTTTTTATAAAATAAACGTATTTTACAAAAAAATATTGTGAAGTGATACTTAAATGTAGACTCACTGTTATCTATGTGAATGTATTTTAAGATCTAATTATTTATTCTACTGATTCAAAGTGGATCCTTCAGAATTCATCTTAATATTAGTTATAATAGAAAAGGAAAGTCCGTAGACAAACTTTATGGTGGCTTGAAAAAAGCCTCGTCTGAAAGTTTGAGGTAGTTTTAAAGTTTAAAAAATTGAAGTAGTTTTAAGGAAGTTTGAAACAGTCGGCATAGATAGATAGCTACATATAGGTGAGCATATTTCTAGCATGGATTGGCATGTTACTTTATTAGCGGTTGATAGGGTGTTCTGAGTGGTTGCTAAGGTGTTGCCAGGTGGTTGCTAGAGTGTTCTGAATGGTTGTTAAGGCATTGCAAGGGTGTTTTGACTGGTTGTTAACGTATTGCTAGGCGATTGCTAAGGGGATCTGAGTGATTGCTAAGGTGTTGCAAGGGTGTTTTGACTGATTTTTAAGGCATTGCTAGGCGGTTGCTAGGGTGATTTGAGTGATTGCTGAGGCATTGATAGGGTGTTTTTTGTGGTTGCTAAGATGTTGCTAGGTGACTGCTAAGGTGTTCTGAGTGGTTTTAAGGCACTGCTGTGCGATTGCTAAAATGTTCTAGGTGGTTGCTAGGTGCTTTCTAAGTGGTTGCTAGGCGGTTGCTAGGTTGTTCTGAGTGGTTGATAAGGTGTTGCTAGGTGGTTGCTTGGGTGTTCTGAGTAGTTGCTAGGCAGTTGCTAAGGTGTTCTGAGTGGCTTTTAGGCAGATGCAAAGGCATTGCTAGGGTGTTCTGAGTGGTTACTAGAAGTTGCTAGGCGGTTGCTAGGCTGTCCTGGGTGGTTGCTAAGGTGCTGCCAAGTGGTTGCTAAGGTGTTGCTAGGCGGTTGCTTAGGTGTTCTAAATCATTGTTTTTCTAGGTGGTTGCTTGGCTGCTCTGAGTGGTTGCTAGGTGGTTGATAAGGTGTTACTAGGAGGTTGCTAAGGTGTTCTGACTAGTTGTTAGTCAGTTGATAACACAAATTAGCATGGTTCTAATTTGTGTCTAGCATAAATTAGCATGACATTAGCATGGATCTAGTATAAATTAGGATGTTTTTAGTATAACCTAGCATGTTGCTTATCATACTATGATTAGTATGTTGTTAGTATGTTTCTAGTATCTTTACTATATTGTTAGTATGGACTAGTATGTTGTTAGCATGTCTAATGTAAAGTCAATGGCAGTTTTTTTATAGTGGAAGTCTATGGGACAGTTGCTAGGGCACCATTAGTAGTTGGTAGGGTGTGGCTAGTAAGTTGAAAAGTCATCAGTGATTAGCAGATTGGTAGTCTGAGTTGAACGAGCCCAACCTTAAGTCTGCATTACAGTCTGGTGCACAAGTTATGAGCCCACAAAAGTTTGGTCCAATGTCATGTTCTGATTCATAGTATGGTTTGCATGAAACAAAATAACCCAGGTTTAAAATAACTAAGGGCTGAAGGAATAGTTCACCCAAAATGAGAATTTCCTCACTATTTCTCCACTATTTTTTTCACACTCAACTGGTTCTAAACTTTTATGAAATTCTTTCTTATGTTAACAGAAATATTATGTCTTGTGTTAAAAAACAAGATATTCAGAAGAATTTTGGAAAAAAGCAGCCACTGACATCCAGAGCAAGTACAAAAAAATACAAGTAAAGTCAATGGCTGTTTTCCATTCTTTAACATTCTTTAAAATATCTTCTTTTGTGTTCAACAAATGACAGAAATTCAAACCGGTTTGCAACAAGTGAAGGATGAGTGAATGACAGGATTTTTCTTTGGGGGAACTATTCCATTTCAAAACACCTAATGTCATTTTTAATCATATAAACAGGGTCAAAAATCTGAGTTCTCCAGATGATTGTATGAGTGACTTTGTACATCTTCATCTCTTCGAAAGTGAGGTGAGTCATTCTCCAGAAGCTGCTATAGAGGCGTCAGAAGGGACGTAAGCCGAAATCACATTTTAGCCTCTAATTATTCTGTCCAGATGTCCCATATTAGCACACGACCCTCTTGTACAGTTTTTTGAGGCTTCATCACGGCCCACACTGACTGCCGTGTAGGTCTTCACCCGAGGAACGCTTACCAGATTATGCTGTGTGATAAGCTTCCTATTTTTCGAAACTGCATGGAGATTTATGGGATTATCTGGGTACTTATCCCGGAGTCGGCTTCGGGCAGCCTGCCGAAATCTCTTAGGACTAAAGATTTGGCTTCTAAACTCTTTTGTCTAATTATTATCTGGAGTGGCCGCATCCGAGAGGAATGTGTTCACTTTTTTTAAACCAATGCATTGTGTAAAGTGTAGCTCAGACTCACTTGGAAATTAAACGGTGTTAATGTATTAATGTACTTAATAATTTGTTATGTTGCAGATTTTATGGTAACCTCATTTCACACCGTTTTCGTATATCTGTTTAAGCACACTGGATTGTTTTATCATCCTTATGGACCTCATTAGTTCAGGCTTTAATTGTACACCGTAGTTTTGTTTATTTTATATTATTCTAGGTGGATTAAGAAATAATAAATGTTCAGTCTACTGAGTCTACCGGCCACTTTATTAGGTACACCTTACTAGTACCAGGTTGGACCCCCTTTTGCCTTCAGAACTGCTTTAATCCTTCGTGGCATAGATTCAACAAGGTACTGGAAATATGCCCCAGAGATTTCTTCCATATTGTCATGATAGTATCACGCAGTTGCTGCAGATTTGTTGACTGCGCATCCATGATGTGAATCTCCCGTTTCACCACATTCAAAAGGCGCTCTATTGGATTAATGTCAGGTGACTGTGGAGGCCATTTGAGTAGAGGGAACTCATTGTCATGTTTAAGAAATCAGTCAGATGAGTTGCGCTTTATGACATGGCGCCTGATCCTGCTGGAAGCAGCCATTAGAAGATGAGTACACTGTGGTTATAAAGGTATGAACATAGTTAGCAACAGTACTCATGTAGGCTTTGGCAAAAAATCCCAGTAGATCAGCAGTTTCTGAAATACTCAGACCAGCTTGTCTCGCACCAACATCCATGCCATGTTCAAAGTCACTTAAATCACCTTTCTTCAACATTCTGATGCTCGGTTTGAACTGCGGCAGGTCGTCTTGACCATGTCTACATGCCTAAATGCACTGAGTTGCTGCCATGTGATTGGCTGATTAGAAATTTGTGTTAACGAACAGTTGGACAGGTGTGCCTAATAAAGTGGCCGGCGAATTTATATTTATAAGAAATTAGGGTAAAACTTGCTTTTACCCCCTTACCTATAAGCAACTTAACCCTTAACTTTAAACTCTGAACCCTAACACCAAATATCCCTACACTCTGAACCCTAAACCCTTAACCTTAAACCTTAACACTAAACCATAAACCTATAACTTTATATAATCCTCATAGGCGCCCCCTGCAGGGTGAACTTCTGCTAAGGCTTGAAACTATATATATATATATATATATACTTTTTAATTTATATATATATATTATTGTTAGAATTGTTATTAGTGTTAATATTAGGAATTCGATTTTATTTGTGTTTTCATTTCAATATCAGGAAGAGTTTTAGTCATTCTGAAGTGGGGATTTAGCATTTGTTTTTGTGTTTTTAAAGAATATGTCTATGCAGGTTTTGTTCATTTTATTTCAGTTTTATTAATATTTTAGAACGTAAATAAAATGAAAAATATTGCCCTAGAAACTAGATAATAAAATAAAAAGTTTTTTATTTATGTTTCGTTTTATTTCAGCTCACGAAAAAGATAAACATAGTTCACATCAAGAAACTGCATCAGCACATGCTTTTGCTTATAAATATCATGTGATGGTCTTCTGTTGTTTAAACCATATTTTTACTGCATCTTTAGTACCCTTAATGGTTTAATCTTGACAATCTATAGATCATTATCCATGTATATAGTATTCAAGTGAGAACTCAAAAAATGGGGTGACATTTAAAGGGTTAAATGCTCAAAGCAGGATGGTTTCTGATTGGCTGTCAATGCTTTTAAGAAAAAAATATATTGAAAGTGATTTCAATGATAACATTTCTCTGTGCCAAGAACATTGCCGTTATGGTGTGGATTTTGTTACAGTTTTTAAAACTCTATGGCTTGCTAACCTGTATTTATCCTTCTTGGTGTGAACAGGTCTTTATAGATCAAATAAAAATATTGCAAGCTTTAATAAGAGAGTAATGTTAAAGCAAATGATATGGATTTCTGCAATTAAGTGCTTTAAAAATTGGTGTTGCATCATAATTTGCAGGTTTTTAATACAATGCTGGATTTGCGGTATAAACACACAACAAAATGTTCCTATATTAGAATAACTTGTAATTCATAGAAAGAGACAGTAATTCTAATGAGTGTATGGGTGTTTCCCAGCACTAAAATGAGTCTGGAAGGGCATCCGCTGCGTAAATGCTGGATTGCTGAAATAGTTGGTGGTTCATTCTGCTGTGGTGATCCCTGATAAATAAGGGACTAAGCCGAAAGAAAATGAATGAAGACAGTAATTCTTATCTATATTTATTGGTTTTCATTTTACAAACAAATGTGCATATTTAAAATATGGCTTAAATATATGTACAAATTCATTTCCAGCACATGCAGAAATAATTTCAGAGCAGATCTTGTTATATGAGTCCATGAAGGGCCGGTGTGCGTTGTGTCTGAAGTGCAGCCCAGCTCCAGTAGACTCTAGGCGGGAAGCACAATAACGGATGGGACGGTGGGCAACACCAGCACGGTGTCCGTTTCAGGCGGCCCAGGGTTTGGTAATGTGCAGGCAGAGCGTAGGGCAGCTGCCCTGTTACCCTGCGGATCCTTCTCCGAGCTCTCCGCCGATGGTAGTCCCCGTTTGAGAAGTCTTGAAAGTTGGCCGGGTGAATTGCCCAGAAATGACCCTTGCCATTGTCACTGCGACCAGCTTTGATGAAGCACTCGTTTAAAGACAGATTGTGTCTGACGCTGTTTCTCCAGTTCTTGTCCTGTTTGAAGAGCAGAGATTAGCAATTATGACTCCTATAAAGGTCAAAAGTTTGACATCTAGTAATGAATCTGAGTATTAAAGATCTATATAATGTTATAGATCTATTGTTTGTGAAGGTTCATAATTATGTGCACTCTTAAAAATAAAAAGTTCTTTATTAGCATTGAAGGTTCTGTGAATAATCTTATTATCCAAAGAGCCTTTCCATTCCACAAGAGATTCTTTATAGTGGAAAAGTGTTCTTTAGATCTACACTTCTTGCTTAGTTCAAAGAAAAAATGGTTCTTTTAAGAACTAAAGAGTTCTACAGGGAACCAAAACATTTTTGGGTTTTTGGTATTTTGCATGTCTTTATTGCAAAACCCCTTTCCTTACCTTGAAACCTTTTTACTTTTGTGTATTATTAGTTAGTTTTTGATGTAAATTTGACTGAAATGTTAATATTGTGAGTCTTAAACAATTGTACAAATTAGAGTAAAATGTTTTGTTATTAATGTTAAAAATAAAGATTGTCAGATTGTGGAAAATCTGAACACTAAACTCTGGTTTGCAGAGTATGATCTAAATATATGACCTTTTTTTTTTTTTTATAATTTCTGCTTTGCCATGAAGGAGCTTGTGATCAACAGGATAAGTAAAATAGTTTGTTGACTGCCTAGGCACATTTAAGAACCATTTTTGGTTCCAAAACAACCTTTCATTTCTTAAAAAGAAGATTTTTCTTTGTGTAAAGAATGTTTTTAAATCTCAAAGAAACACATTACACTATAAAGATCCTTCAGCAAAATGGAAACTTAGGTGTTTAAAATGATTCATGGAACCAATGATGCAAATAAGGAAGCTTTATGTTTCATTAAAATAACAGTTTAGTAATGATTACAGACTAAAAGTACAGTAAATAATATAATAGTAAGGATATCATTAACTGATTTGTTTAAAATAGCTTTTGCAAGCCACAGCTTGCCAACAGAACTCCTTTAGGAAGCTTACGCTCTTAAAGATAAAGGTTCCCAAATAATATTTATGCAGAAATTCCATAGGAGAACCATTTTTGGTTCCTCAAAGAACTTCCAAGTCGACTGTTACATTTATTGTGAGGAACATTTTAAAGACCCAATGCTTCTCCACTTTAAAAAACAATGGAAAGTTTCTATAGATGTAAAAGGTCTTCATAGAACCACTGATGACAACAAATGATCCTTTTTATTATTAAGAGCGCATAGTGGCTTTTATTAAAGTACAATACCTTGCTTTTGAAGTAAGGATAGTGATCCATGATCCACTGGTAAATGTCACATAGCAGGAGCTTTTTTTCGTCTGAATCCAGGATGGCCATGGAAATGAGGGCAATGTAGGACTGCGCTGGCTTCTCGTCTGTTCCTTCGCTCTTTACATGTGTGTTCTCGTGATCCTCGTCGTTTTCCTGCTCTTCTGATTTTTCACTGTCCTGTTCTGAGAGAGTTTTTTGTTCAGGTTCGTTTACTGTGCTTTGAAGATCTTCTGATGGATTGACATTGTCCTCTGGTTCTGCTCTTCCAGTGCTGCGTCCCTTATTGTACAATAAATAGTCAATCGTAAACTGAAGTCCAAGTTGTTCTCGATTGCTGTGGCACACGTTGTCCTCCATTTTTGTGTTGTTAGAGATCTTTGTGGCTGAAAGTTCAGTTTTTGGATCCAAGTTCATAACATTTTGTGCGGTTTTCCTAGTGCGTTTTGTCTTTTGAGAAGTGCTGTCTAAGATTAGCCCAACAAACGATTAATTCGCCAAACAATTGTGACGTCAGTCTTTGAGGCATGCGTGAATCGGGTAAACAGGTAAGTACATCTGTTAAGATGCGTGTTTGTTCGTTTAGCCACCTGTTCGGACTGATAAACAATAACAACACCAGTTGCGATTCTTCCCAGAAAGCCTCCTCCAGAAAGACTTCCCTCACAATGACCAGTGCATTAACGCCGCTTAATTTAAATGCTCTGCATATTCAACTATGTAATTAGCAGCAAAGTGGGGTACAAGAGAGTTAGAGGCAGGGGGTCTCATTGAAGGGGATTATTTTTATTAACCCAAGCAAGTCCTTGTAATTACGAGAGATTATGCAGATTAATGTACACAAATTGTCTCGGCCAGTTGCTGCAGTGATACAGCATGACCTCTGGGTGTGCTTATCCTGTTTGGGTCAAGTCTTTGGGACCAAAACAAAAGCATTTTGCATTTAAGATTTCCATAGTTTTAAAAGTCAGGTTTCACACATTAATAACAAGACGAAGGATTAAATTTTTTACATAATTGAAAAAAAAGGTAAACATTAGAGGCTTGGTTACTGTGTAAAAATTGGTGGGCAAAAAAAAGTATGAGGTTCTTCAACATCAATACAAGGTAATCTTATTGGAAAATTCAATAATTGTAACTTTAATGTTTGGAATTAGTTAACTGATGCAATAAATATTGCTTATTTTAAGCAGACTGTAAGAAACCTTAAATGTAATAATTGAAATTTAACTCCCAGTGTTAGTTAGATTTTTTTAGAACATAAAATTACACTAAACTGTTATGCTAGAGCATTTATTTTTTGGGGATTGGTCTGAATAATAAACCTTTTATTTTGTTGTGACTGATAAGCATGGGTATTTCACCCAATTTTGAAGGTAAAACATTGTTATTGTGCTGTCTAAAACGTAATATAAAGAAGATTGAAAATATGGCAGCTGTTTACTTTATTTAAAAAGTGCTCTAAATTACAACATTTTTGTTGATTTTTTTAAACATTCTCTTTATTAAATTTCTTACATTAGTACAAATTATAACTTCTACATACAGTGCATCTGAAAAGTATTTATAGTGCTTCACTTTTTCCACATGTTTTATGTTACAGCCTTATTCCTAAATAGATTAAATTTATTTATTTCCCTTAAAATTCTACACACAATATCCCATAATGACAGTGTGAAGTTTTTTTTGTTGCAAATTTATTAAAAATAAAAAACCTGAAAAATCATATGTTCATAACGTCATTTTGGAATTATAAGATTCTATCTGCGTTCTGAATGATTTTGAGATATTGAGCTTCATAGTTTTTGCATTCCATAGCAAACAAGATATGTTTAGCATTTGTTTTTATAAACAAAAAGTCTTAAAATGTAAACAACTTATAAAAATTTATCTTATAATGTAAATAAGTTGTCATTTAATAAGAATATGTCAATAACTCCATTGTGACAAAAAATGTCAGATAGAACCTTATAATTCTAAGATGACGATAAGTATTCACAGCCTTTGCTCAATACTTTGTTGGTTCACCTTTGGCAGCAATTACAGCCTCAAATCTTTTTGAATATGATGCCACAAGCTTGGCACACCTGTCTTTTGGATTTTTTTGCCAATTCCTCTTTGCAGTACCTCTCAAGCTCTATCAGGTTGGATGGGAAGCAACGGTGTACAGCCATTTTCAGATCTCTCCAGAGATGTTCGAAAAGATTTAGGTCTGGGCTCTGGCTGGGCCACTCAAGGACATTCACAGAGTTGTTGTGAAGCCACTCAATTGATGTTTTGGCGGTGTGCTTTGGATCATTGTCCTGCTGTCCAGACCGTTGCCCCAGTCTGAGGTGAAGAGCACCCTGAAGCAGGTTTTCATTCAGAATGTCTCTGTTTATTGTTGCATTCATCTTTCCCTCTATCCTGACTAGTCTTCCAGTTCCTGCTGCTGAAAAACATCCCCACAGCATGATGCTGCCACCACCATGCTTCACTGTATGGATGGTATTAGCAGGTGATGAGCAGAGCCTGAATTTCTCTAAATGTACACCTGGCATTCACTCTAAAGAGTTACATTTTTGTCTCATCAGACCAGAGAATTTTGTTTCTTATGGTCTGAGAGTCCTTCAGATGCCTTTTGGCAAATTCATGGCGGGGAGTGGTTTCCGTCTGGCCACTCTACCATACAGGCCTGATTGATGGATTGCTGCACAGATGGTTGTCTTTCTGTAAGGTTTTCCTCTCTCCACAGAAAAACGCCGGAGCTCAGACAGAGTGACCATCGGGTTATTGATCACCTCCCTGACTAAGTTCCTTCTCCCCTGATCACTCAGCTTAGATGGCCGGCCAGCTCTAGGCAGAGTCCTGGTGGTTCCAAACATCTTCCACATACGGATGATGGAGGCCACTGTGCTCATTAGAACTTTCAGAGCAGCAGAAATTTGTCTGTAACCTTCCTCAGCCTTGTGCCTTGAGACAATCCTGTCTCTGAGATCTACAGACAATTCCTTTGTCTTCATGCTTGGTTTGTGCTTTGACATGCACTACCAACCCTGGGACCTTATATAGACAGGTGTATGCATTTTCAAATCATGTGCAATCAACTGAATTTACGACAGGTGAACTCTATTTAAGCTGCTGAAACATCTTTAAGAATGATCAGTGGAAACAGAATGTACCAGAGTTCGGTTTAGAGCTTCACAGCAAAAACTAAATACTGATGTACATGTGATTTTTTAGGTTTTTTAATTTTAATAAATTTTAAACAGTTTAAAAAAATATTTTTTCACTTTGTCATTATAGGATATTGTGTGTAGAATTTAGAGGAAATAAATTAATTTAATCTATTTTGGAGGAATGCTGTAAAATAACAAATGTGGAAATAGTGATGGGCTATGCTATGAATACTTGAGGTGTATTCATGGGGGGTTGAGGTGTTTCTACTAGGGTTTAATCATTGCTCTCTTGTAAGTACTCAATAAATGGATTCCATGTTACATGGAAGTTCTTAGTTTTATTTTTTAAGGGAAAGTCTTAGCTTCTCAAGCTGCAGGCAAGACAAGACGTTTTTTACCAATGTGAAGCAACGGGGAGGATTCATTTCCAATTCAGTAAAATCGTGCCAAAAGAGTTTTAAATCTAATCAATGTACGTTGATTTTTAGATAATTCTGCATTATCACTGACACCAAATATACAACATTTGTATTTTAACATTTTATTTTAAAACATTTCTAAAGGTAAGAGACTTCTCAAACTGCAAGAATACACGTGTGCGTACAGTATATATGTTTAAAACTAAATTTGTTTCGTCAAGTTAAGTCGTCGAGTTAACTTTATCTTGATTTAACCATGCTGCTCCTACAGGTGCTGGTGCTAATTTTACAAACTATTTTGAGATTTAAGACTCACAGTCACCACAGGACATTGCATAACAGCACAGCACATAACAGTAGTGAGATGAGATTTATTAATTCTTTCTGTGTCAACACGCACGAACAGTTCTATTTCACATTATAAAATGTGCACTTTTAGTACATTACCTTGAGTCATCTTATCATAGACGGGAATAAGCAACTTGTGTTGGTTTCAGATTATCCAAACGAGTACCCTAAAAGACTTTTAGTTCAAAGTCAATTAGTTCATTATAGGATTGGATTACATGTGAAACTGTCTTCCTATTAGTCCACTGTTAGTGTGGTTGTTTGCTTGTTGTTGACCTGACGCTGGGATGTAGTGTGTCTCCATAGGTAGGAGAGCTGGAGAATTTAGATATGTGGGCTACTGCAAATCAGTGTGACTCACACGCATGTTTGACTTAAAATAACTACAAGAACTTCCTTATGTGTGCCAAATATCAGTTCTGTAATGCACAAATGCTGAAATATTACAGCTGAAAATCTAACATTGCGATATTTTGTGATTCTGCAATATATAGTTGAAGTCAGACATATTAACCCCCCTTCTTTTTTAAATATTTTTAAAATTATGTTTAACAAAGCAGGGAAATTTTCACAGTATTCCCTATATTTTTTTCTACTGGAGAAAGTCTTATTTGTTTTATTTTGGCTAGAATAAAAGCAGTTTTTAATTTTTAAAAATCATTTTAAGGTCAATATTATTAGCCCCTTTAAGCTATATACTTTTAATATACAAAGCCAACCATCATTATACAATAACTTACCCTAACTTGCCTAGTTAACCTAATTAACATAGTTAAGCCTTTAAATGTCACTTTAAGTTGTATAGAAGTGTCTTGAAAAATATCTAGTCAAATATTGTTTACTGTCATCATGGCAAAAATAAAATAAATCAGTTATTAGAAATGAGTTATTAAAACCATAGTGTTTAGAAATGTGTTGAAAAAAATCTTCTCTCCATTACAATGACTTTTGATTGATTGTGATGATTCTGTAGAGAAGTGCATCTACATAAAATCCTAAAAACAATCTACAAACATAGATAAATACATTTATAAACAGTGTTGAAATAAACAGTGTTTTGTTCCTTTTCGAGTCACGATCACCAGCTATCCAGCCTGTGCAGATCACTGGTAAACACAGTTTGCTAATGAACTACAAATCTACCAGCAACAAAACTACAAGATCCAGTCTTGCACCACTCACACAGCTGGCCTAGATCCTGTCTGATTGCAAACATTCACAGCTGAAGCCGCTCATGATCTGATTACATGGACTATAAAGAACGCACCCACACACACACACACACATCTGGGCTGAGTCTTGTTATACTGCTTGTGTACGTTATGACACGGTTTCCTTGCCTTGTCCATTTGCCTGTTTTATGACTGGGACCACTGGGACCAAGTTGACCACTGCTTGCCTGAACTTCTCTGCATGAATAAACCTGCGTTTCCATCTGCACTTCTTTGTCCAGCGTCCACTTCACATCACACTAACCATATTCAAGAACAGTAATTGAATAATAAAAATAATTAAATAAAATTAATGGTTAATGAAGTTACAAACTGTACAATTTATTATGCCTGACTTCTTTTAAAAAAATATTATACAGTCACAGAGCTCAAAATATATATGTATGTTTTTCATATCAGGGCATCATAGTGGCGCAGTGGTTAGCACAATCACCTCACAGCAAAAAAGTCACTGGTTCGAACTTCAGCTGGGTCAGTTGGCATTTCTGTGTGGAGTTTGCATGTTCTCCCTGTGTTCATGTGGGTTTCCTCTGGGTGCTCCGGTTTCCCCCACAAGTCCAAAGACATGCGGTACAGGGGAATTGGGTAGGCTAAATTGTCCGCAGTGTATGAGAGTGTATGGATGTTTCCCAGTGATATGTTGCAGATGGAAGGGCATCCATTGCGTAAAACAAATGCTGGATAAGTTGGCGGTTCATTCCGCTGTGGCAACCCCAGATTAATAAGGGGACTAAGCCGAAAAGAAAATGATTTTGCATATCATTACATGGCCTGCGATTGCGAATGATCACAATGAGATATAGATGCTGAAACAATATATTATGCAGCCCTAAGGGAAATCCAATTCAATTAAATTTTCACGTTGCAAAATAAATATTAGCTATTTTGTATATTATCAGTTCTGCCATCATGATGTGTTTTATTTGGTTATTAATTTAATTAAATGTTCTCGCATGAATGTTTGGTACAGAATATTGCGGAATTGCTGTATCACCTTAAATTTACAAAATATTGCGCTCTTTAGAACTTGAAACTTATTTCAGCAAAATATTGATACAGGTTTCACCCTGTAGTTTTAATTTAATGAGTGAAAAAAGGCTTGTGGTGTATATATATATTTACAATACTTAAACATCAGTACTACATTGTAATCTGACTTATAAACAGAACTGTTTTTATATTCACCTCTGTATTTTTCCTAAAGCCACACTAAGTTCCCTTACAGGAAGTGAGTTTACATGTTTTTGTTGTTGCTGTAGGAAAACCATGGAATAAAATCATTGTTAACTTGCAGCTGCAGGTCAAGTTTTTAAATGCACCCTGGTGGTTATGTATATGTTATGTATAACATAAAATATAAACTCATAAATAAACAGGTTTGGAACAAGTGTAGGTTGAGTAAAGCTTAATTTATGGATGAATGATCTCTTTAATTGAACCAAACCATTTTTTCCATCATCTATATTGCTAGCTTGCGGTTTAGCATTGCAAAATTTCTTTCTTTCTTGGCTTTGTAATAGTATTTCTCTAAAATTTCTTAAAGATCATCAACGTCTGTCGTTTGAATAGCTTGTGAAGACTTTCAAAGGTTAACTGTTACGCAACAGCGCCATCCACTGTGAGAATAAGGGAATGAATACAGTATAGTTAAAGAATGTCTTCAACCGGTATTTAAAAATCTGGCATTTGTTACTTATCTTAATGTTCTTAAAACTTTACTTCAAGCAAAACACAAACGGGGATAAATAACCTTAGTCACTGTTAGTCAACTTTCAATGTGTTTTTTTTCCACAATGAAAGTGGATGAGTTTAGCTGTAACTCTGTAAAACATCTCAATGTGTGCCTCAAAGAATTATTATATACTATCATACATTATTTATATGGTTTCAGGGTGAATAAATTAAAATACACTTTAATACACGACACTTTCATCATTTTTAACCAAAACAGTAAGAAGAATTGTACTATGAACTGAGGGTAAAGGTTCATTATGATGACTGTATTATTTTATCTGTATTTTTGTATGCATATTGTAGTCACCTTTGGTTTATTAACGTGTGCAAAGTTCAATGTATCTGTTTTGATTTCTTCAGCTGCTTTGCTCGTCGGATTTTTACCCCAGTAAACTGTTTCAAACGTTCCCCTCCCCCACCACATACAATAAAGGAAAACACGACATGGAGTTTCCTCGGGATTTAGGATTCAGTCTCGTGTGGATTCTTCAAATGTAGTTCATCCAGCTGCCCTCAATTAACGAATATGTTTGTTGATTTGTATTTAACAACACGCTATAAACACAGTATGCTAGTGAATGTGTCTGTGAGTCGTTTTAGCATGCTTCTGTGTTCGTTTTCGGGCCGAAATTACACAAAGCATTCAGTCCTCAATATCACGGCTTTTTGCAACCTACGGAGTGGATTTTTCCGTGCGGAATGGATCGGATGGAGCCATGCGCTCCTCATCCATTTATCGCGGGAAACCCACCTCTTACATCACATCTGACTGCAAAATGCAATGTGCTTTCGCTCTCACACCAGACTATTAAAGTGGGCAAATCAGACTGTGAAGTTAAGGCGACGGTGGGTAGGTTTACAAGAACCAGAGGCCTATCAGAAAGGGTAGACCTTGCTTCAAGTTCTCTTTTTTTGACCGCACTGTCCCTTTTAAAGCTCGTCGTCACGCCTCCTTGCAAGCAGCCCCGCCTATTTGTGGACAATACGCGGCGTTGATTGGACACTGGCGGCGGTCATCGAACGCCTTCTCGGCTTCTCATTGGCTCACCGCTGCCTTTCGCTTCAGGCTCTCGCGGGGCTGCTGTGCGAAGATGGCGGCCGAACTGGTAGAAGCGATGGTGAGTAGAAGAGATTTGTAAAAATAGTGGTATTACAAGCAGCCAGGTGATCCAAAGGCGGTGGTTACGGAAGCAACACGAGTTTAGTTTCATACTGTGGTGTTTTATGCCCACACAGGACAAGTGACAGTCTGTAAAGTGTGTTGGCAATTAGTGTGTATGTGAATGGCTGTCTCTCAAAAGCCAGTGAAGTGTCTGTATAGCCAGCATATTTGGCACGTTTTAATGTTCGGTACATTTTTTTGAACCTTCTGAACGTATATTTGATGTTTTAAAAACAGTCAGGATAGACAGCCCACTGGGCTTTTTAGACACCGCTAGTGTGTCTGTGCGCGCGCGCGGGGGCGCGCTGCCTGTGAAAATGAATGATTGAGTCTGCACAATGCAATACAAAACAAAACCGACTATGCTGGTCATAAACAAAACCAACCTGCATTAATTCAGTGTAGCTGTAACACACCCTCGTTTGCAACTAATTTGCAGTATTGCATGTCAATGTGTAGATTTGTTGTCACATGCAGTACTGATCCATGTGGGCTGCTTGACAATATGTATGTCTTCTCATTTGTGCAGTAACTTACTGCAGGACATCAAGCACTTGCGTTCACGCTTGCATCCAATACTCTTTTATGAATATATTTAGATTTTTTTGGATAACCTAATTGGTGTGACTTGTTTTGCAGAGCTGATTTCTGTGTAATGTTTATATGGGGGCATCATTGGCCTGTATTGGTTCAGTCAGGGTAAACATGAGGTTGATGTTTAGACGTAGTTTAGACAGACATTGGCAAGTCAAGACGATGTTTGTTTTATAAACGACTTTTAGAGAAGTAATAAAGTTTTGTTAAATATAACAAATGTAATATGTAAACATGCTGTATGGGGAAAAACAAGAGAATGATCTAAGGTTACATTTTAACATGCATTGAGATTCTAGTGTTGTTGTTGTTGTTGTTGTTCACACTTTGCAGCCCCTTCACACAACATTTCTTTTTATAGCCTTAACACATTGGTGTTTTATAAATAAATGGCAAAACACAAAGTTTTTAGTCACAAACTGCATTGTGTATTTTACAGCAAAATTATCATTAACATAACATTAACAACATAATTTAACAGTTTTGTGATACTGCGATTAAACATTTAAATCTGGATAAATTGCTGCCTCTGTATCTTTTACAAATAATGAGCAGAATCACTTGCACCCAGTGCAATACATTCGTGTCAAAGATTTTTTTAATACTATAATCATTTTACTACATTCCACTACAGAGAATAAACAGATAAATGTCCAGCCACATAAAACTGTGACTTAATTATAGCAGAATATTTAGCAGAAAACAGAATTTCTCTGAACTCTTTTGTTAGATGGTGTTTAATGTAAATCTTGAAATATTTAGACTGAACTTTAACAACAAACTGTTAAACTCAATTTGAACAAGACCAGCCCAAAACGAACAGTGTTTTCACGTTTAAAATAGTAAGGTGTTAACATTAAAGCTCTACAGTGTAAAGCATTATATAGATAAGCATAACGTGACTTGAAGTCTCTGAAGTGCAAATATCCACACCAGCATCATCAGATTCAATGTGTTCTTATATTGGTCTGAATAGACAATTCACGTTTTTAATATTCGAGGTGACTAGACCACCACTCAAGGGCATTGTTGTTGTTTTTGTGTAATTGAACCCTCAGCCTTTTGAATCACAACCCAGATTTCAAACTCTGTGCTGTGTTTTTGATGCTAGTCCTAACTATTCATAATACATTTCTTTTCTGATTCCTCTTGTTTATGTTTTCCCTCAGAATATGGTGAAGAGTTTTCGGGTGTCTGATCTGCAGACTCTACTGGCCTCGATGGGCCGCAGTAAAAGTGGTTTAAAGCAAGATTTAGTGGGAAGAGCTCTTCGTCTTGTGCAGACCGAATACAGTCCAGAGTTGCTAAAAAACGTCCGGCAGCTCTATGAGACGCGCTTCCCCAAAGCCTCAGCCTGGCTGGCTGCCCGACGCCCAGAGACCGTGGCTGTAAACTACCCTGCTCTCAACTCTTCGCCCAGAGGCACGGGCCAGGGTACAGACTACCTCAACGGGATCCCCAAACCAGCCCCACCTCCTGCAGCCGAAGTCAAACTGGTGCCCCTGCCATTCTACCACAACCTAGAAACATTGCTGCCACCCACAGAACTCGGTGAGTCCAATTAGCATGCAGATATAATCGGATGATTATAAAAGGTTCATCAAGTTGATGGGGATGTCAATATCAATTTTTGTTTCTTGTTTTTTCCCAGTTGCTCAGAATAGCGAGAAGCTGCAAGAGAGTCAGTGTGTTTTTGATTTAACACCAAACCAAGTGGATCAGATCCGGAACTCTAGGTAAGAAAATGCAGTCATCTTGTGGCCTGATGATAGCTGCTAATAGTACCGGAATCGAGGTGTAATGTTAATATGCACATAATAAAATTTAATGGTGGAAAATTAGTAGGCTTTAGTGGATTGAATGGATGTAACGCCCAACATCACGTTTCAACAATTACTTTCATAAATCCATTATTCTGGCTACATTTATAATTACTCATTATGACTCAGTAATAATCATGCAACAAGATGGTTTAATGCAAAAAAGTTTTTTTTCCAAAAGTTATGCAATTTATATTTTTAATAAGTGCTAGTGAAATGCATTAAAAATTATAAAGGTAGATAGATATCATGTATATGCCCTGTGTGAAAAAGTGTTTACCCCTTTTAAAACATAATAACTTAACATGAATAGAAGTAGACCAAAAGATCATCAAAAGCTAGACATCATGCAGAAATTCAAAAAACAAATGAGTAAGAAAATGGAGATCTATAAGCCTGGAAAAGGTTATGAAGGCATTTCTAAGGCTTTGGGACTACATTGAACCACAGTGAATCTGCAAATGGCAAAAACATGAAACAGAGGAGAATCTTCTCAGGAGTGTACGGCAGACCAAAATTACCCCAATAGCACAGAGATAATCAAGAGGTCACAAAAGATCCCATAACAATATCCAAAGAACTGCTGGCCTCAGATAGTGTTCATGACTCCACCATAAGAAAGAGATTTGGCAAAAATAGTTTGCACGGTTAAATTCCAATATGAAAACCACTGCTAAACAAAAACATCATAAAGGCTTGTCTTAGTTTTGCCAGAAAACATCTTCATTATCTCCTAAACTTCTGGGAAAATACTTTATGGATTTAAGAGACAAAAGTTGAAATTTTTTAGGAATGTTTGTCACATTATGTGTATCATAAAAGTAACAACGCAATTCAGAAAAAGCACAACTGTAAAATGTGGTGGCTGTGTGATTGTCTGGGCCTATTTAGATGCTTCAGGTCCTGGAAGACTTCCTGTAATAATGATCCAAAGTACACCAGCAAGTCCACTTCTGAATGGCTGAATGAATAACAAAAAGACTTTGGGTTGGCCTAGTCAAAGTCTTGACCTAGGGCTGCTTGATTTTAGGGAAAATCATAATTACGATTATTTTGGTCATAATTGTAATCACAATTATTTAAAACAATTATCAGTTTAAGTCAAAATTATTTGCCCTCCTGTGAATTTTATTTTGAATGAATATTTCAGAAAATATGTTTAACAGAGCAAGGAATTTTAACAGTATTACCTTTTAATATTTTTTTTCGTCTGGAGAAAGGCTTATTTGTTTTATTTTAGCTTGAATAAAAGCAGGTTTAAATATTATTTAACCTATGTTAAGGTCAATATTATTAGCCCCCTTAAGCAATATATATTTTTGATTGTCTGCAGAAGAAACTGTTATACAATGACTTGCCTAATTACCCTAATTAAGTCTTTGAATTACATTTTGAATCTAAATGCTTGTATTTTGAAAAATATCCAATAAAATTTAATGTACTGTCATCAGAGCAAAGATAAAATAAATTGGTCATTAGAAATGAGTTATTTAAACTATTATGTTTAGAAATGGGTTTTAAAAAAAGGATTTTCTTTCCATTTAACAAAAATTGGGGGGAAAGGGTCGCTAATAATTCAGGTGGGCTAATAATTCTGACTTCAACTTTAACTTTCCTCTCTGCTAGGAAAGAATAATTAAAAAAAAATACAATTGAATAAAAATATGAAACAATCTGTGCTTTAAGCATCTTCAGTCAGAAAAACACTTTAGCTACAAAAGTCCTTCAGTCAAGAGCAGTGAGTGATTATCTCCTTTTGTTGTTTGATTAATAATGATAAAAACAGGCGGCAGCAGGAATATTGCTCGCTGTAACTTTAATGGTTTCTCTTTCACTTGTCTTTTGATTCTTAACTCGTTTGTTTATTACACAAATGAGGGTTAATGTGAATAATCACTAAACACCGCGTTTTGACACCTAGTTGACCATTGAAAGCGCTCTCGTTAAGATGATTTTAGATGTGTGCGCTCTGCTCTTCTCAGTGTGCAAATGCTGACCGATGCGGTCTCGTTCGCGCTTTTAAAAACATGATTCGAATGTATGTCAGTGAACGATGTTAATGCGCGTTAAAAAAAAAAAAGTCATGTAATTTTATTACAAGAGATCATGTGATGATAAAAATGTGTGAATGAACAAACCAGCAGGCTGAGCACATTGTAAAACATCTGAACTGTTGTTTTGGTCATGCAAATGTTAACTTAAAGCACATGCTTTTAGTCATTTTCATGTAAAGCTGAGCTTTGCAGAGCAACAAATGTATACAACTGAAAACGGGGCGGCATATGATGCAACAATTGTTCATCTCGATTAATGTTTTTTTCATAATCATAATCGTAACCGGCTTTTCGATTAATTGCACAGCCCTATCCTGACCTGAATTCAATTGAGATGCTGTGGCATGATTTTTAAAAAGGCGGTTCATGCTCAAACCTTTCGAATATGGCTATATTACTGCTATTCTGTTAAGATGAGCAGGCCAGATTTCCTCCTCAGCACTCTTAACAGGTTATCAACAATGCCTAATTGCAGTTGTTGCTGCCAATTTATTAGGTTCATGAGGCAAACGCTTTTTTCACACAGGGCTATGTAATTTTATATTTAGTTTTCCCTATAATAATTATTGAAAACCTTCATTTGTTTGTTATCTTTGTGTAAAATTTAAGTTTAATCAAACACAAGTGTGACAAACATGCAAAGAAATCAGTAAGGGGAAAACACTTTCACACCACTCTATATGCACATTTTGGGATATTGAATTACAAATAAACTAATTGAGCAAGCATGCAAATTCTTCATTTGTAAATAAATTAATGTGCACTTTATGTAATAAGGAATTGTGTATTTATGACAAATGAAAACACGTTTGCACTCAACCATTTGTTTTATGTGTACAGTGAACTACGGCCAGGGATGAAATCAGTTCAGGTCGTTCTCAGGTAAATAATTTGGCAAAATCCTACCGGTAAATCAACTTTTAGTGTCAGAGGCATTTACTGCACACTAACATGCTCTTTTCTTCTCCCAGAATTTGCTACACAGACTCTATCGGCGTTCAGGAGGACCAGTATCCTCCCAATATTGCTGTGAAAGTGAATCAGTCCTACTGTCATGTACCGGTAAGTGTTGTGAATCTGATTAGGCTGTAAGAGAGAGGAATGTTTTACAGATTTGGATGATCGTAAATCTGAACTCTTTATATAAATAACTTTTGTTTTTAGCATTTCTCATAATCGCATTCAAAATGTTTTGCTGTAAATGTGTTTATTTTGGTTCAGGGTTACTATCCCTCTAATAAACCGGGTGTGGAGCCGCGGCGGCCCTGTCGACCTGTCAACATCACACCCTGGTTACACCTCTCCACAGTCACTAACAGAGTTACCATCACATGGGGAAACTTTGGGAAGGTATGAAGATGTGTTGATTATTCACATTTGTGTTTAGATGCTTGCGCTGTTGCTGACTGTGGTGTTTTTATTGTTTTGTTTTTTTGAAGCGATACTCAGTGGCAGTGTACCTAGTGAGAGTGTTCACATCTGGAGAGCTCTTCAACCAGCTGAAGCATTGTTCAGTGGAAAATCCTGATCGTTGTCGTGAAAGAAGTATGTTTTATTGCCTTGATATAATATATTGTTTCATCATCAGAGGTTAAATAAGAGTTACAATTTTTTTAGAACTCAAACACCTATCTATTGCACCTTTGGACAGACACTTAATGTTATTAATCTATTAAATGATTTTTAGGTTAACAAGTCTTAAGGTGTTTTGTCTTTAATCTAATTCCAACATTTTTCTTTAACTTCGATTTATTGGAATATAGTGGCATAAATGTCATTTTTGAAACTTGTTTTTATGACAGATTGAAACATGGATTACATAAAAACTTTGCTAACAGGTTTAGTAAAGGATAAATTAATATAAAGGTTAAATGGATAGTTCACCTCAGAATGAAATTGTCATTTTCAGGAAATCTTCTTTTGTGTTGAACAGAAGAAAGTCTTGAAGATTTAAAACCACAAGAGGGAGGGTAATTGATGTCGTAATTTTTATTTTAGGGTGAACTATCTTGTAAATCTAGAGCAAATATTCGTATTAATACTATTATTAGACTGCTGAATTAACAGACTTTTTTTTTCTATCCAACAAATCAAAGCAAACAAAATCGTCACTTACTGATTATCTGATGCCACATATCAACAGTAAAAATCGAACTTCCTGTGATAGGAGAAGCTGCGTGAATCTTTTCTTCATTAAATAAATGACTTGTGCCCCAGAAGGCAATCCTGACACACAGTGAACGTTCAGTGGCGTTTGAAGGCGTGAGACGCGGAGCACAGATGCTCTTGATTCTGGAGGTCATTAATAATATAATAACACCAATACTGAGATGCGTTTTTAGAATGACCAAAACAACAGTTCAGGTGTTTTACAATGTGCTCAGCCTGCTGGTTTGTCCATTCACACAATTTTATATTACATGATCTCTTGTAATAAAATTACATGACTTTTTTTTTTTTTTTTTTATGCGCATGCTGAAATTTGTACCGTAAAAGTGTTTCCGTCGTAGTTTATGCGCATTTTTTCTTGTCGATTAAAAACTTTATCCTACTTGGTTATGCGCATATGTTTTTTTATGTGCATTTTCAAAATTGATAAGCATCTTGGCGTTTCCGTCAACTGTTTTTTTTTATGCGTATATCAAAAATGCGCATAAGAATAGGTGGATAGAAACAGCTAATGACTTGCCAGAGATCGTTATGCAGTGGTTGCTTTCTTTTCATAGTTGAAACGCATGAAGTAATTAGACTGGATGTTCATACATTGTTATTCTGTGCTATAGCCTGTAGTAAAAAGATGATGTAACCATGTTCACTTATTCTGTTTGAATTGAGGCAAACAAACATTTATCTGTTATGCTACATCAGGGAGTGTCAAAACGGTGTATTTCTTGACAAGATAGTCCAAATATTTTTATTTTGTATTTTCCCCTTTATAGAAAGCAACAAAATGCTAAGCTTTTTGTTATTATTGGGACAAAAAAATATTTAAACATGTTTCTTTTTTGTACACAGTTCAGGACAAGCTGCGCTTTGATCCTGAAAGTGAGATTGCCACTACAGGACTGCGAGTGTCCCTCATCTGCCCTGTAAGTGTCCTGCTGATGTTTTTTTTTTTTTTTTTTTTTGGTACCAGTGTAAAAATCGACAGTAGTTCTAACAAATGTCTTTTCAAAACAGCTGGTGAAAATGAGACTTGGGGTGCCGTGTCGAGTGCTCACCTGCGCCCACCTGCAATGTTTTGACGCAGTCTTCTTTCTTCAAATGAACGAGAAAAAGCCCACGTGGACCTGCCCTGTATGTGACAAACCAGCTCCTTTTGAGCTCCTTACTATCGACGGGTAAATGCTCCAGCCGCTTGCATATAAAAATTATTTATTTATTTTTATTTACATATGTTTTATGATAGTAAAACTTACAGATTATGACCTTTATTCAGGTTACTGTCCGAGATTCTAAAAGAGACACCAGAGGATGTAGAGGAGATTGAATATTTGACTGACGGCTCATGGAGGCCAATCAGAGATGATAAAGAAAAGGAAAGAGAGCGAGAAAACAGCCGCACGCCTGACTATCCAGTGGTGGATATATGTAAGAAGGGTTTATTTCTTCTGAAGTGACAACATTTGCAATGGACCTTTTTGTACATTTAAAGTACCATATGTAAAAAAAAACAGGATATGTGCACTTCTATAGGCATCAATAATTTAAAAAAAATAATAATTTGTGGTCATATTCATCTCATTATGACCATCATTTGACAATTGGAGGTCTTTGGAGATTTGCTGTTTAGGAAACTACATTACAATACTAAATCATGGGGAGTTTGAGGTCGTACTCACTATGTACAGTTGCCTTGAACCGGGCCAAAGCACACTTGTCCCCCCTCCTATCTCCCCTGACGGCCCGCACTCGCATTACATTCGGGCCTGGGCATGCTTGCGTCATCATTGCTGCGCTTTTCAGTAAACGCTCTTGCCCAGCACAGTGGAGATGTCTTTAGTTATTTCGTTTTAGTCGTTTGATATGCAGTGACTTGCTTTCAAATATTTCGCCGAACAGATCAGCCACTTTTGACGCTCATAAACAGTCATAAAGTCAGGAGGAGAATCAGGAGGTTTGCTAAAGGTGCGCAACTGTCGTGCTGTGAGGGGTTTGCATCTTTAATAATCTATGACAGTTTGCTTTCACTGAACAGAAGAGAGAATTATTAATTAATTCGTATGAAACAGTCCCTTAAAAGTCACCCCCTGCTTTCAGTTTCGGGCTTAGGCGCGTTTTGCACTCACGCAAAAGCGTACCGTGCCAAAGCCGAAGTGAACCGTGCTTCACATTTACAGCACCGTGCCAGAGCCCGATTCAGAGCACTCTCAAACGATCCGGGAAACGGGCAAGGTTCGGATACCATAGTGTAAGTAGGCCCTTAGGCATTGGTTTGCTAGTAATCATAATTTTTAAATCATAATTTTGCAAAAGAAAAGAACCTCACAATCAGGATTTCTGCTAAATCGTAAGGATGCATTTATAGGTACACTTTGCTCATTACGCTATATTTGGAAACGTATATGCATTTATAAAACTTTTTGGGATGAATTATCTATACATGTTAGGCTAAGAAAAAAACTAATTTATAGGGTTGTAATAAATCACAGTTGATCCGTGATCCATACGAATCACAACCCACAGTTTGGAACATACGTGACCCGCATATTAATAACTTTTTTTGAACTTGTAGGTTAATTCAACATTTATAACAATTGCAGAGAGATCACCTCCCGCGTCATTCAAATCATGTGTATAGAAGCATTTTGGCTTCCCTGAAAAATATAATGATGACGGAAAAAATTGTGGTGAGACCTACCAAAATACGTCTTAGGTTATTAATTAAAGGTGTTCTGTCACTGTTTAGCCTGCATTAATGCATTCAGTGCATGATTAAACATTAAAAAAAACTGATCTCAATTCAAACCTGCGCAACATGAATAAGTAATCGTGATTTGCGTATGTTTAATAATCTGTTGAAGTGCTGGGAGAACAGTTTATAGTTCAGATTTAAACACTGATGTTTATGGTAAAGAATAAAATCACAGTTTAATAGAACTTGACGCTGGTGAATGTTGTAGCAGTTGCATTGTTTAACCAATAGGTGGTGACAAACAACCATCAAAATGATGTCACTGAATAGGCTTTCAAAACTGATCCACCTTTAATCGAACATTAAGTTTTATGTGTGAAATGTTGAATCATTATTGAAACTAAATATATGTTGTACAAGATTTTAGATTTCTATATTTAGCATTATCAGCAACAGCAGCAGGTTCTTTCTTGATTTTTATTTTTATTAAAATTACAGGTTGTAAGTTCTGTTTGTTAAAACTAATGGTTTATGGAGTAGTAATATTGTATAAATGGAAAGCATATGATATTTGTCTCCTTCCTTATTTGCTGATCCAAAAAATGGTCCAAAAAAATCGTAGTGTGATCTGTGAGATTTGTGATCCGATACACCCCTACAAATTTGTAGGACAAGTCAAAACCATGAGACTTTTGATACTCGTGTGTTTTTTTTTTACAAATTGTAATACTGGTGTTTATTCACAATGGATAAGTGTGTGCACAGCAGGATATTTTGTGAGGGGGTAAGAAAAAATAGAAAGAAGGGCATGCGACATTGGAACCACACAAGCATGATTAAATGATTAAAGTCAGCATGAAACAAAAGTGTTATTTCATCCCAAAAGCAATGTGTGAGGGGAATAAAGATGTAATCTTCTCATGACTTAAATTACCCTGAAAATGTGTTTGAATTGGTCTATATCTCTATTTTTATGTGATCTAAACAACGTAACTTTCATTCAAGGTGTTCCTGAGGCGAACGGCCACTCCCCAGCACACAGCGGCACAAACCAGACCGGGAAGTCTGGATCGGGAGGTGCGTCGGCAGGAACCGGCAGCACCAGTGGGGGGTCAGGAGGCGGCACTGTGGTGGATTTGACTCTGGACGACTCGTCAGAGGAAGAAGGAGGCGGAGGAGCCGAGGACAGCGAGGAAACAGACGACAGCCAGGACAGCCCCGCTCCTAAACGGGGCAGATACGACTATGACAAAGACCTGGTCACCGCATACTGAGACCGGCGGGACACATAGACTCATTGGGGAGGGAGGGGGTTGTAGATGGTGGGATCTGAGCCTTGGAAATTCAAGAAACATGTCCCCATGTCCTCTCCTGAATGCATACACACTCATGCACGCACACAAACATGCACACTCATGCGCTGCAGACCTCTGGAGCAGGCGGGCATTGCAATGACGAACTCTCAGATGCCCCGTAAAGCCATTCCCAATCATTCACTGCATCTTAATTCTGTATCCTCCCTTTAAAGGCCATGGAAGAGTTAACACCACCTTCAGTTCTGCTCTGTCATCAAACATTTCCTCTCCACTTTTGAGTTTCGACAGGTTTAACCATACTGGGCGTTTAAGATCTTGCCAGTTTTCGTTTTAAATGAAGCTGTTCAGGCATTGAGACGAGCCACAGTATCTAAAAAAAAAAAAAAAACTTCATTCCTTCAGTTGTGATCATAGAATCTACTCAGAGGCGCTTTCTGTTAGTCCTTCACATAAGATGTTTATATTAACTGTTCGGTGTGATTGGAGATATCACTGAAGAATTTCCATCTCTCTCACAATATTTTGTTTTTATTTGTCCACAAAAGTTGACAACCTACCTCAGTCTGACAGCGGACTTGACCAGAGGGTTATTGAAAGGGCGTTGAATCCCTTACATGATGATTTTTGGTTGTGTTTTGTTTTCGATCCCTTTGTTTTTCTTGTGCAGCAACACTGGAGAGGCATCAAGCATTGCTCATTGTTTTGTGCTTGCCCATTTAGGCATCATATTAAAAAGCTATTGACTCGAGCAACGAGTTTCTGGTCAAGTCTGTCGGTCAACTTGCGTGTACTGATTGGATGTAGTGCGCAAATCCAGAGGGAATGGAGTTTTGACATCAACGGTCATTGTGAGATGCTAGTCAGCGGGTAAATATTGTATGATAGCTAAGCTAATAATTATAATGTATCGTTTCTGATCATATATTAGGAAATCGCAGGTGTCAATTTAATTTTGTTGCTTTTATTTTTTTGTCGTTTTGGTCTGCAAAGTCAACGCAGACTAATAAATCAGGTTTAGGAGAGGACAAGGTGATGTTTTCTTCTTCTTCAAGACATGACTGTAGTAAATATTAGACCTGATCTTATCTGAAATTTATTTTAAATTTCGACTTGACAGTTTTCGCTTTTTATTTTAGACTAATGGCTGATTTGTTTGAGCCCGTTTTTATTGAGGTTACCCGTTCATTTTCAGCAGATGAAGAGGTGTTGAATTTTTTTTTTTCGCGAAATGTTTTGTGGGCTTCGCACAGCCACAGTTCTTAAATATGTCAGCATGTTGCTTTGGTAGAAAACGCTGTGTCCTCACACAGCCTGCTGGTGGACGCACACATTCAGCCATTTGCGGCAGTTTGAACGTAAGTGGGAGGCTTGGTCAGGACTATGCAGACTTGACCTAAACCTCGCAAGCATTAACTTGTGCTTAATGACCAAATACAAATGGCACATCCAGGAGGCTGATCTGCTGAGGATTCAGGGATGACGCGTTAGTTCTACTTGTCTTCATATTTTCTTCTCAGTCAACCCTGACAGGTTCTAGCATCGCGTACAATATTACCTTCACCATCAGGTCACGTAAAGCAGTCAAGGTCTCTGATCTGGAAATTTAAATGTACTTTCATGGCATAGGAAGCTCAATGATTTCTTCCCTTGTTCTTCAAAAAAATCTCTGCACTAAACCCACTGCAATTTTTTTAAAGTTTCTTCTTCAAACGAATCCTGAATTCTGACTTGAATACTCTGTACTGTATCCTATCTGTGTTTGGAAAGTCTCATCAGAAGAATACCGTCATGAAGGGTCAGTTTTAGGATTGTCTTTGGGTCGGCATGGTCTTCCATCCTTTTTTTTCATGATACGCCCAACTTTTTTCACCTTTTTGTTTTAAATGAATTATCTGCGCTGCTGTTAAGCAGCTTCATATTATAAGCCCTTCATGTAGTACGTTCCTACAAATTTGACCAGTTTTGTGATTTTTCACATTTAAGGTAAGGAACTTAATAGACTTCCATCTTTAGATATTCTAGATCGTTCTATTAGAAAAATGTGGATAAAATGTACATTTGCTTACGATTAAAAGGTAAATAAAAGGTGATCGACGACAATATATTTCCAGCTCAGAGGAGAAAATGGCCTCTGTGTAGCCAGGTGAGGTTGAAGTGGGTTTTTTTTTTGGGAATGGAGGCATCCCCTCTTGTTACAGTGCTTAAGATAGCATGGGCAGTGGCTTGCAGTTCTTGATGTAAATGTTTTGTTTGTGTCTTTTTATATGTTCATATAAAAGCCAATAAAAATAATAATATTTTATCAAGTTTCCAATTGCCTCCAGTTGCTCCAGCAGGTGGGCACAAATGCATTGTTATTGGCAACTCTCAAACTTCATGAGGATAATGTAAATTGGTGACCTTCAACGATGTCCTCAGCTTTAGATTTGATAATACAGGAGCGGATCAGTTGTTCCTCTCTGAAGTGAAATCAAACTGTAAAAGCTCTAACACCTGTCAATTATTGTGTGCAATTAAACTGATTTAAAATAAATCTAGATTTTGTCTTTGCAGTGATTTTTAGATCTTGGATTTATTTCATTTATTTATTGAGGGAATATATCAAACAAGTGTCCCTTGTAAAGTAAAGTGTGTATTTATATAATGCTCTCAGCGTGTACACCCAAAGTGCTTCACAATAATGAGGGGGGGGGTCTCTCCACACTACCACCAGTGTGCAGCGTCCACTTGGATGATGCGACGGCAGCCACAGGGCAATGGCGCCAGTGCGCTCACCACACACCAGCTATAGGTGGAGTGGAGAGACGGTGTTAGAGCCAATTCGGTGGATCGGGATGATTGAGGGAATTTGGCCAGGACACCGGGGCTACACCCCAACTCTTTACGAGAAATGTTGGGATTTATAATTTTAACAAAAGGGCAGGACCTCAGTTTAATGTCTCATCAGAAAGACGGCGCTCACTGAGAGTATAGCATCCCCTTTACTATACTGGGGCATTAGGACCCACACAGACCACAGGTTGAATGCCGCCTCCTGGCCTCACTAACACTACATCCAACAGCAACCTAGTTTTCCCATGTGGTCTCCCATCCTGGTACTAACCAGGCTCAGCCCTGCTTAGCTTCAGTAAGTAACCGGTCTTAGGCTGTAGGATGATATGGCTGTGGCTGAAATGCAGGTTTCCTTTAGAATGCCAGTCACTAGTTTTACTACAATACATTGGTAGCAAGACTATATAAACTGCCAACTTATCCAGCATATGTTTTATGTAGCTGATGCCCCTCCAGCTGCAACTAATCACTGGGAAACACCCATACACACTCATTAACACACACACACTACATACAGTTTAGCTTACCCAATTCACCAGGACCACATGTCTTTGGACTGTGGGGGAAACCAGCTCACCCAGAGGAAACCCGTGCAAACATGGGGAGAACATGCAAACTCCACACAGAAATGCCAACATCCAGATAGGGCTCAAATCAGCAACCTTTTTGTATCACAGAATCTGTGTTCATTTGATTTATTTACAGTACAGTTTGTTAAGTAATGTTTTCTTTTTTGAGAAGAGATATTATATGAGAGACTTGCTTTGTTTACCTAATAAGTGGATCTAGATGGATTTGCATTGTAAACATTATTTAAAAGTTAAAAAGCTGTTATTTTTTTCATATATGAAGTTTTTAGTTATGATACTCCCAAAATAATTCTGCATAAATCTGCCGATTTTTTACAAAAATCTCAGAATAGCAAAAAAAAAAAGCCTGCAGATTCTGTCTGATCCTAACAGAGACTACATCTCTGAGTTAACTATTAATCTGAGAAACTTTCTTTTAATATGCCAGCAAGCGATTGTTGTAAATGTATCTGACAAGATTTCTTAGTATTTGAGTAGGCTGAAAGACTTTTAGTGGCTGAATAACTTAAAAAGTATGAGTTATTGCTTTATGCTTGGAACACAAAGCACGTATGAATGTAAGTGAGAAACCGCGTTTATCAGAAACCTTATTGTTTTGAAGCTTGCAAATCCCTTTTCGTCCCCATAAACTGGAAGCTGCGACCATTATTTTTCATATTGTGACGCAGTTCCGAGAGAAACATAATATTAAATGACACAAAAGTGGGTGTGGCTTGTTTTTTCTACTGTGAGCTAAATAGATGTAGTAGTGTAGGTGTTTCATTCAAAAATGGGGGAAAGTGTTCGAGGAGAGTTGTCACAACCTAAAAGATACCTCCTGTTCACCATTTCTGTTTGTTGTCAAAACTGACAGTTGGAGGAGGTGATTTAGTATGTTAGCCACTCCCATTTGCTAAGTTATACGTTATCTGATCATTTTATTTTTAGATTTCAATTAAACATTAGAAGAGCAAACTGTTTTTTTTTTTTCTTCTTCTTAATGACCTGCACAGATGAATTGTTCACCACAAAACTGGCAATGTGAGATAACAAAATCATATCGTTAGTTTAGATTTTTTAGGGACTTTAATAATCATCACATCCCAACATGTTTGCAAGACTTCAAATTATTACAATGTGCATTTTGATACGCACTAAAAGACTAAAGCATTCATACACAAAACCTAAATACAATTATAGTATATTTAGTCATAATCGTAAGTATGATACACAATCAGGTTGTTTGTAAATTTTAACTACTTATGTACTGGTAAAACTGTAGATGACAGGGCATGCAGGCCCGTAGTCAGCCTGGTAATAAGAGTGCTTCTTTTTTCTCAAAAAGGGAACCTATTTGCAGTTATTCGCCTCATATTCTATTTAATTAAGAGGTTTAAATATTGTATTTCAAAGATGTTTTAAGCACTTTTTTTGTTTAAATAGCTTGTCAGATGGTCTTTTTGATGTTCCAAAAAACATTTCCTTAAGGATTTTGCAAAAAAAAAAAAAACATACTCTCAAATACTAATTTATTACATGATTTATCATTAAGAAAAAAATAGAAATTGTTCATTGTTTAAATATATATATAACACTTTGGTCAGCACATTCAACTTTCCTCAGTTAAAATTTGGCCACTTGATTAAAAAAGTAAACAAATAAAAAAGGATAATAAAGAGCTTCACAATATTTTTAGATTTTTCAATAAAAAATATAAAAAAGTTCAATAAAAAAATACGGATAACAATAGCCTGATTAGCATTAAAATTAACTTATTAACTTTAGTGCTTCACACCTTTCATTTATACTTTTTGTTTCATGAATAAAGTCCAAGATTTAGAATAAAAGTAACTCTATTTAGCAATAATACAGTAGGTCAGCAGTGAAAGATGACCACTTACCTCAGATTGTATGTTTTCTTGCACAGATGAAAAATAATTGTTAGCAGTGGCCTAAACTGATTAGCTGAAGTCAGGACAGTCAACAGAGGATTCCAATTGGAAGCCTTCTTCGATGTGTTATTTTCACAATGTATGATGGAATAGCAGTGGAAATGAGTTTATGTATGGGACAAATTCTGGACCATTGTCGGTAGGGGGGGGGGGGGGGGGGGTCTTTCAAACCACCTAAACGTGCCCTGGCTACGAGCCTCAGGAACGTCAATCCTCGCGTTTCTGACATTGGTTATTGGTTAAAACTTTTTATAACGTATTTTATGCTCACCAGCAGATGTCGTTCTTTCTCATATAATGACTGTTTTTCTCAAATCTCGCGATGACGCAAGTTCTCTGGCGGCAGTTCTCGCGAGATCGAGCAAACGCTTCCTCTTGGTTGGTTAGCGGCTTCCTGGCCGGACTTTTTCCCCCTCCTTTTTTCTTGGGGGAAATTTCAACTTCTGTTTTCGCGGCTCCTCCGAGCCAAACTATTTCGGACAGCGTTTCTCGCCCGGTCCTGAGGCTGTGAACGATAGGCCTAACTTGTCTTTTGCCGCCTTTTGTCTGTGGGAGCGCTCGCGAGTCAGAGGCCGTGCCGGAGAGACATTCCAGCGATGCACGCGCTTAAATAAACTGCATTTCCTGCACTTTTACCTCTGAGCCACTCGCTTTTTCATTTGACACTTTAATTTCACCTGGAGCAGCTTTTGAGAGCATGATTGGGTGTTGAAATTTGGGGCTTGCTAATCTCAGAAACTTCCACTACAAGGGTTTGTGTATCAGTTTGAAGTATTGGATGTCAGTAGAGACAACCTGGTTGCTTTCTTTGAAATTGATAACTTTGCAAGTATGGCACCAAAAAGAAGACCAGTCCCCTTGATTATAACCCCCACTGGAGAGGGACAGTCAACCAACATTGATGCAGCAGCAGAGTAAGTATTTATTTAGCTATATCAGTGCCTTTATGTACCTGCACACGTCTCACCTGGTCGTCTTTTTGTCTTTAGGGCCAACCTGGAGGCCTTGCAGAGGAAGTTAGGTGAGCTGGATTTGGATGAACAGCAGAGGAAGCGCCTCGAAGCTTTCCTCACCCAGAAAGCCCAGGTGGGCGAGCTCAAGGATGAAGATTTCGAACCCATATGTGAACTTGGCGCTGGTAATGGTGGAGTGGTTCATAAAGTCCGTCACAAACCCTCGAGACTGGTTATGGCCAGGAAGGTAAGCGATAAAGGATCTTATGCACCTGCTAAGGGCTAGGCAATTTGGCAAAATTCATATCATGATCTAATCTCATGTTCTGATAACAATATGCATTATAATATACTACAGTTTCTGTAAATCCAATCAGTTAATAGTTTATACACAACATATATTGACCACACTTAAAGAATTATTTCTTTAAAAGATTATACACGTTTGTAAAGTGCTTACTCTTTTATATGTGATCAAATGTTTGAAATAAAATGTAGAAATATTATTAAGATATAAAGCACTTTTCAAAAACTAATGATTACAAGTCCAACATGAGAATAAATAGAGTAAAATAAAATGCCAAATGTAAACCTTGTACTTTCAAGATTGCAAATTTTTTTTAAAGATGCTGTTATTCATGTTTCTGTCAACATTTTCATAATGGCATGTTAGATTGAGCTTGTATAAATTATTTAATAAAAAGTGTCACCGGCTAGGGCTGTGCGATTAAATTGAATCGCAATTTTAAATGTTGAGATCAGTTAACTGCAAGTAGGCATGGGGCGATAACTGTTTTTAAGGTATACCACGGTTTTGAAAAGTCAAGTTTTTAAAACCGCCAACATTTTCTGCTATACCGTTCCTAAGGTATGTGTACGTTTTTTTTTTGTTTGTTTTGTTAAACATTTTTTAGGACAACAATGCTGCTTATATTGTAATGAAATCTGTGTTTTTGAAACTAATAAAGGCAGCAGAAGTCAATGATTCATTGTAATCATTTAGCCTAACATGTTTACAGCTGGGCGTCGCAGTGGCGCAGTAGGTAGTGTTGTCGCCTCACAGCAAGAACGTTGTCGGGTCGCTGATTCAGCCTCGGCTGGGTTAGTTGGCGTTTCTGTGTGGACTTTGCATGTTCTCCCTGCGTTCGCGTGGGTTTCCTCCGGGTGCTCTGGTTTCCCCCCACAGTCCAAAGACATGCGGTACAGGTGAATTGGGTAGGCTAAATTATAAATTATTTGTGTGTGTGTGTGTGGATGTTTCCCAGAGATGGGTTGCGGCTGGAAGGGCATCCGCTGTGTAAAAACGTGCTGGATAAGATGGCAGTTCATTCCGCTGTGGTGACCCCTGATTAATAAAGGGACTAAGCTGAAAAGAAAATTAATAAGTGATTGTTTACTGCTCCGAAACATTTTAAAAGCTTCTCAAAATAAAATAAATTGTCTTCAAAGGGTAAAAAAGTTTTTGTTTTTTACCCAAACATTTAAAATGAATATATTTTAGAGTGGTAATCGTAATATCATAAAAAATGTGAAACTGTGATATTTTTATACAAGATTATCATACCGTCAGAATCCTACATGCCTACAACATGCCTAATCGCAAGAGGCTGCAATATGAAATGTATATGTATTATTTAATTTCATCTACAAAGAGCAAATGCATGATTGCTGGCTGTGTGTTACAGTCTTACTAGCCAATTGAGTGAGCACAATTTCATTCTGCCCAATCAGAATTGTGCAACCAAACTATGCCGACAATAAAAGAAAGAAAACAAACAGGAAAGCGCTGACAAGTGGAAAAATGGCGTCTGCTGTTTCAAAAGCAGTAATAGACAAAATAATATCAAAGAACAACAGCAATTGTAATATGGGAATATTTTAGTTTCAAAGTCACAGACACAGACAGTAGCAATGTATGTAGCAATCTATGTAGCAATAGAGTTTTATTTATATATATATATATATATATATATATATAGATAGATAGATAGATAGATAGATAGATAGATAGATAGATAGATAGATGTACATCTCGTCATAATGTACAGCCCTACTCCAGGGTATTCGCAGGGTCTTAGAAAGTCTTAAATTCAACTAAATATTGTGTTGTAGGTCTTACTTCATTTTAAACAGCTTTTAATTTTCCTAAATCCATGTAAAGTTATACTCAATCAGGCAATCATCCATCCAGTCACTAACATTCCATCACAATAAAAGGTTTAACAGATGTATTTTTTTTACCAATACTTTACATTTTTTACCAATGGGGTTTAATTATCTTCTTTTCAATAACCAGGGTTCATACGGTCCTGGACAACCTGGAAAAGTCATGAAATTTTGAAAGCCTTTTCCAGGCTTGGAAAAGTCTTGGAAAAACAAATAAATCCAAAATGTTTTGGAAAAGTCAAGAAAATGTGTTTAACAATCATTTGTGTACTTGAATATGTTTGAGGTAAACTTGACTTAAAACCTGAAACTATTTATGATGGGTAAACTTCAAAAAATAAAATGGGTAAAAAAAGCAATAACTTAAAAAAAAATCAAAAGCAATTTTAGCTTTGCCTCTCTTTCACTCGCTTCACTGTAATTCAAGATGCATTTTGAGTGTCATGTCCAGACACTCTAACTGCAGAGGTAAGATACTGTGGGTACTGAAGGCTAATTTGTACTAATCTTAATTCCTGTGAAAATACAAGCCAACATTGTAAAATTTTCACGCAGACAGCAAGATATTTTCTGAAAGCTATTTCACAGATATAAAAATAAATATAAACCACATGGATTGTCACATACTTTTTGACATGCTCTAATAAATTTGAAAGTTTTTTCTTATTCGCCTCGTGTACGTAGACAATGCATGAAACACAAAACAAGATCATGAATTTTTACCTTAAAGTTTTGGAAAAGTCATTAAAAAGTCATGGAATTTTAGTAGTAAAAATTTGTATGAGCCCTGAATAACATTAGTGCTCCGATTTCCCCAAAATCCAAAGACATGCACTATAGGTGAATTGGGTAAGCTAAATTGGCCAAATTGTGTGTGAGAATGCAAGAGTATATGGGCCTTTCCCAGTGTTGGGTTGCGGCTGGAAGGGCATCTGCTGTGTAAAACGTGCTGGATAAGTTGGCGGTTCATTCCACTGTGGTGACCACTAAATAATAAAGGGTGTAATGCGAAAAGAAAATCAATGAATTATTGAACAATAACATTTGTTTTAACTGTTTTTTAATGTTTTATCTGGGCCCTTAGAAAAGCATTTAATCTCTTGTAAGTCTGAAATTTCATTTATAATAGCCTTTAAAAAAATCTTAAATTCGACTCTTGGAAACATTTGGAAACCTTGCACTCCTGCTTGTATCATTTGGTGTGATATTCTTATCATAGGCTGAACTTTTTGTGTTTTCCCCAGCTTATACACTTGGAAATCAAACCAGCCATCAGGAACCAGATTATTCGAGAGCTGCAGGTTCTACACGAGTGTAACTCACCGTACATTGTAGGGTTTTACGGCGCCTTCTACAGTGATGGAGAAATCAGCATCTGTATGGAGCACATGGTGAGGCCGATGGTCTTGTGTGTGGTTTGTAGCAAGAGCGTTACAGCACTTTGACATGTGTTTGTCCACAGGATGGAGGCTCTTTGGATCAAGTGCTCAAAGAAGCCAGAAGAATCCCTGAGGAAATTTTGGGCAAAGTTAGCATAGCTGTAAGTATTGCGGTTCTCTGAGACTGATAAATCTACTATACAATGATACGCTGATAACTGATACAAGAATATCCAGATGTGTAGTAAGGTCTAGGGCTGTGCGATTTGAGGAAAATATCAAACTGTTTAGTTTTTTTGACAGATATTGCGATTGTGATTTGATTTGCGATTTAATTTTATAGTCAAGATTCAGCTCAGTAATCTGTGTCGTAGCTTCCTACTGCTAAAATGCAGTGAGTGTTAGTTAAAAAAAGAAAAAAAAACACTTATTCAAATTTGTTTTTAAATATTCAGAAATTGAACTAATTTTTTCTCTAGAGCAAACTGTAAAGCCAAATAAAACGATGTTACTTTTCTGTAAACATGTTCAACTCAAATTAGGAGATATTGTAGCTTATCATACAAACAAAAATAATATATAAAAATATACGGAACACTCAGCAAACTAACATGGATGGCAAGAGGCAACTTAAAATGTTCTGATTGGGTAGAATGAAAGTGTGCTCACTCAATTGTCTAGTAAAGCTATCACACACAGACAGCAGTCATGCAATTGCTTTAGGTGGGGAAAATTAAATAATATATATTCCATATCGCTGCCTCTTGTGATTAGCTAATCGCAACGTTTAAAATTGTGATTCGATTTTGATTAATTGCACAGCCCAAGTAAGATCAACTATTTATTTTCCTGTGGTTATTACATTTTAAATCCTTTGAATAATTTAGGAATGCACATTTCTGTTGTATTTTTCCTCAAAGTATATATTTTTTTTAATTACAGTATGTTCCATAAATATGCCCCCTTTGAACAAAGCTACTGATACATTTGACTAATACTAAAAGCAAGTTGGCTGCATATATTAGCTTGTTGGCTTCAATTTGTAGGGTTAGATTTAGTATTTGAGTCCAGGGCTGCTTGATATTGCAGTATTTATTTTTTCTGCGATAAATATTGCAATATGAATCTCTCATTTAAATTAATATTTTCTATTGGATGCTTTACATTATTATATTTGTGCATATACATTAGTTTAGTCATTATTGAAGCCAAATCTGGAGCTAATCTAACAAAATAACTTGCAATAATGGTTCAAAAAATTAGTAGCCCAGATTGATATGTTAGGGAAAAATATTAAATAAAATGTTCAAAAATCAACAGAAGCAAAAAAATACATAAAATTCTGTTGAAATGTTGTAGTTTATCATTTGTTTAGCAAGATTTTACATGAATTTATAATATATTATATTTTCATTTTTACAGATATTCTGTGACTAAAATATTATTTAAATAAATATATCTGTTTAATTAATCTGTTTTTTCTAAATGCATTAATATATAGTACCCATATTCACTGAGAAATGGATAAAAATATTTCAAAATGGGGTGTACTCGTATATGCTGAGCACTGTATTGTTCAGCCCAATTTGAGATTATGTAATTTGTTTCTGTCTATCAGTCAATATTAAAGGTATTGAACAATACTCAATAATAATATCAAAACTCTTAACTATAACTGTTCACAATGTATCTTTTCCATGTTATTTGCTATTTGTAAAATTGTGCATAAAAGAAAATAACTATTATAAGTGCACTTTTCATTGAAAAACTGCTAAATTAAATATTTATTAAATCCCATTATTTTAGTTTTCTGTAAAGACATTATTTTGATGTGATGCTTCAAATGTAGTTGTATCGTTTAAAATTGATTGATTTAATTGAAATGTTTTTTATTTGTAAAATATAATTGGTAATATTAGGCATTTGTTGTTAATTGGCCACATTGAGTATAAAATAAAATAATCTCCGTATTCTGCATAATTACCACTTGCTTAAATGTAGTTTTATAATACCACCTTGCCGTTTTTAACTTTCGTTAACTCTGCTTATAGTATTTGCATATGTAAAGTAAATGCTTATTGTCAGTGCGCATGTAATACTATCAGGCTACTGTGAAACGGCTCTAATAATATATAAACCAGGAAGTAGAGAGGACAACCTGCTCTTCTTGTTCTTGGCTAAAAGCTGAACCCAAAGGATGGTACGTAGACTCCATCGTAACATGTCTGCCGGTATTACACATAGACCACAATATAATAAAGCTGTGAACACACCCATGGATGTGCAAACTCCCTTTTAAGTCAGAGTCAGCAAAACATGCAGGTTTTTCAACACTCGTTTAGCCATTTTCTGCCAAATGAATAGGGTCAAACTAGCGTTTCGCTTTTAATCCTGACAAAGTACAAACACTTGGGCATGAAGACCAAACAAAGGTGCTGAGATCTGTTTATGCATGCGTCCATAATGTTTATTGAATGTGCATTTCATCTTTTGGTAATTAGAAAGCAGAAGTTGTTTTGTAAAGACCAGACCATGTAGCGCATGCTGTAAATTCAGGAAGCCAGATACCACACTAGCCGTTGACAGATAAACTTCATTGATGATATCTATAACGCTCTCGCTCCACAGGTACTCAGAGGTTTGGCGTATCTTCGGGAGAAGCACCAAATAATGCACAGAGGTACGCACAAAGCAACATTCCTTACTAATATCTTAGGAAACGTACATGTACATACACGCGCTGGAGGGCGGCAGGAAGTAGCCCCCTAATGCAGCCATTGAAATTGCATAAGAAGCTTAAAAATGATTATTATAGAGAGATTAGGCCTCACAAGGTCTTTACTGAAACTAACCAGAGACCTTCATCTCTGCAGTAATTGTTAATCTGAGATTAAACAACACTGTCATTAAAGAAGTTAGGTGTTCCAGTTTACATGTGAAACAACCGTCTTCTACTGTTATTTTTTTTAAATATAACATTATTCATTGAATTAAATATTATCAAAACATTAGGTATTCTTTTTCTAATAAATTTTAAAGGGGTTAACCCAACATACATTTTTTTGTCTTCTGAATTATTGAATTAATATGAATTACTTCTTTTGAACACATTAGTTTAAAAAATTTTTGGAAACAAGTAGCTAATGAAAACCTTATTTCCTACCTACAGGGGAAGTCAATAGTAACCAGTTCAAATCTTGCAAAAAGTAAAATATTTTTTGTTTTTAATGTTATAAATTACACTCAAAAATGTTTGAAACAAATGGCGGTTGAGTAAAGCCTTGTTTCCACTGAGTGATACGGTACGGTACGGTTCGGTAAAGGTCACCTTTATCTGGCTTGTGTCTCCACTGCTAAAGGGTACCTATGGCGTTGTGTACAACAAAGTTGCAGTCAACGTCATTCTCGCTTGAACTTTTTATTAAATGCTTTATATACATAAAAACTTGTGTATAAATTGATGTTCATTTCTAACCTTTCTATGAACAGGATTTGATTATAGCTGCAGATTAATGATAATGTAAAGCCTAATGTAACGTCTGCAATTTATATAAAATAAAACATTTATGAACGCATACAGAGACTTACAGTCTCTGAAATGTTAAATTTCAAATAAAATATAACTAAAACTTACATTTAGTTCTAATTTGGGTTGATAAATGATATAAAACTGATACAGTCAGTACAAACCTCTCATCTTTATTGCATACCAGTACATGTAACGTCAACATCTTGTTAAAAAGTAAGTTCGTCATTCCAAGTTCATAATAGTCCGAAAAGGTGATGATAATTAATAAACATGGCAGTTTGTTCATCTTTTATGTTGCTGAAAGAATCATCTGCTCCTTTGTTCGAGCTTCTTTGTTTGTTTGTTTCTTTTGCACTTCTCTCTTGCGTTAGTCTATTTATAAAAAGATCAGCTGTTGGAAGCTCTTCAATAATCAAGTCCACATTATTATTATGAGAGCAAGAAGTTTGTTATTTTGAATATAGATGCGTGGCAAGCACACACAAGCTCTTTGGAGAAAGTGAAACCACTTGTGCTTTAGACAGCCTCGTAAATAACAACAGGACACACGCAGAGTCTTCTCTTCTTGGATTTGTAGCAGTTCATCAAGACCGAGACAAGGTTTGAGCTCTGGTCGACCATGGCTCGTTATTATATGTATATATTATTACTGTGGAATGTCTCGGCTGTGTATTTAAAAATGACGCTTCCTTTGTTGTCATTCTCCTGGCTTGTGCATGCACTAGTGATGTTTCTCTGTGAACCAAAAGCATTCAGTTGCGCGTCTAGCTCTACCTTTTGGTATCCTTTTGTAAAGGACAGGGTACCCAAAAAGTGGTTCGCTTTTTGGTACCTTTTGACAGTGGAAACGGACATAGAAGCGTACCAACTATTACTGCACCACTCAGTGGAAACAAGCCATAAATTAAGACAAATTTCTCATTTGAATGATCTATCCCTTTAGCTAAAACTAAAGAGTGAAAAGTGCATTCATGAATGCTTTAAATGTTCATGTGTAATGTGCTTCTATTTTTAACGACCAGATTATTCAGGAATGTGTCCAAAATTGTAAAGATCAACTGGGTTTTGGTTTTGTATAACAGCATTTTCATTAGCTTTATGATGCTTATGTTTTCTTTTCACATTCTGTTTATTAATTGGTCACATTCTCAATCTCTGTTGCTAATGTGCCAACTTCTACAATATACTTTTCATTCTAAATAGATCACCATTAGCCATGGAGTATCTTTAGCGTCTTCAAGTGTGGCACAGCCAGCATTTCAACAATAATACTATGTCTGGAAATGCAAAGTATCAGTTTCTCAGTCATGTCTGTGAGGGTCTAGAGGAGCCACGCTGGGTTTGAAGGGTTAGACAGGGAGGGTCAGACCTATAGTTGTGCTGTTGTGGCAGAGAGCGCTCGGCTGCTCACGAGGAGCTGTCGAGGAGCCCAGCCGGTAATTACAGCCTCTCGGATGTGATTACATGGCAGCCGCACCCTGCAACCCCCTCCCTTCTTTTTCCTCTCCCACTCTCACCCCTCTGTCCACTCCCAGTGGGTGTTAGGGCTGAAGAAGGGCCCGTCATGTACAGAATTGTTGCAAATGTGCACTGTTATTTGCTCGTTTTGCCCTGTGTTTAAAACGAGGGAGTTGGAAAGTGACATGTTTCTCTGTCCTTGCTGCTGCAACAGTTTTGTCAGAGCTAGCTTTGCAGTATTCAGAACACTGGCGAAAGGGCGATGAAAAGCCAGGTGGTGCCGCTGGGATTTGGACCCCAGCCTTTCATCTTACTTGGTCTCTCTCTCTCTTTCTCTCTGGTTCTTCCAGACGTTAAGCCCTCCAACATCCTGGTGAACTCGCGCGGTGAGATCAAACTGTGCGACTTTGGTGTGAGTGGCCAGCTCATCGACTCTATGGCCAACTCCTTCGTTGGAACACGGTCGTACATGTCGGTGAGTCACCCTCCCACTTCCCTCCCCAACCCCCAGCCCTTCTTGTTCCAAGGCCTGAGCCAGTGCCCAGGATTCTTCCATGTGGAGAGGAGGATCTCGCTGCCAGGTTTTAGCCCACTCCTCCTGGCCACCTGCAGGGTGCGGCGCCCCACCCTAGTAGAGCCTTGACTTGCTCTTTGCTCTCTGCCTTGACAGCCGGAGAGACTCCAGGGCACGCACTACTCGGTTCAGTCGGATGTGTGGAGCATGGGCCTATCACTGGTTGAGCTTGCTATTGGACGCTACCCCATCCCCCCTCCCGATGCTAAGGAACTGGAGGCCATATTTGGCCGGCCAGTGCTGGATGCAGGTGGGGCAGAAGGTCACAGCATGTCTCCAAGACCCAGGCCTCCAGGACGACCAGTTAGTGGTAAGACATCTAATTTTGTGTGGTAGACCTACTGATACATATTATATTAGTGTAAACATTGTTAAAAATGCATTTGATTATATTTTTCCTCCATATTCTACGTAATATGCGTGTTTTAGCCGAGCCTTGCGAATTGTTTTCCCCCAGGACACGGAATGGACAGCAGGCCAGCAATGGCTATATTTGAGCTACTGGACTACATTGTCAATGAGGTCAGAGGATTTGCTTAGCATGCAACTTACTTACTTCGTGCTTATTTTTGCCTTTTATAGTATTTCTGCATTTCATGTAGCAGATTCACTTCAATATCACCCCCTTTCTCTGCTCCCCACCTGTCTTTGCATCTGCAGCCTCCACCCAAGCTCCCCCATGGCGTCTTCACCACAGACTTTGAGGAGTTTGTGACAAAATGGTAAGATCCCGTGTCTTATATTTGAATGTTTTACAGTGCAATGTACAAAAACTAATTTGTTTTCAGAATTGAAAGAACAGTGGCAGTGTTGGCACGTTTGCATGTTGGCTACATTAAACCTTAAAGTAAAGGGCTATTCAGTTTAGTTCCTGAAAGGCCCAATTTTTTGCACACTTTAACTTCATCATGCACACACAATTTTGGTTATTTTAAATTACTTGTTTAGCTGGCGTATGTTTAATTTGGATTAGATCTAAACCATAGGTCTCAAAGTCAATTGCTGGAGGGCCGCAGCTCTAAACAGTATTGCTCCTACCCTGATCAAACACTGACCTCACGAAACGGATGAGGCTTTTATACTTGACTTGTTCGCCGTTATACTTATCGTTATACGATATACTTGAAAACGACAGGGGGCAGTCTAAAGAAACCCACCGTAAAATCAGAAGGATAAACAAAGAAGTAGGAAGTTTCCAGAACTACGTCATGTAATTAATATTATTTAAGATTTTTTATTTTTTTATTTTTTTTTTACTTTGTTATTTTTATCTTTTTTTTAAGTTATTATAAAGATTTTTATAAACATTCATATCTTGGACAGTTCTACTTTTTTTTTTAAATGTATTAAAATATTAATATAAACAGAACACGGGTTGCTCTACAAATATATTTTTTATTTTGGAAAGAACAAACCATCACTAATCAAGCCTTGAAAGACGGCATCAGTATATTGTGTTTCTTTTCGGCTTAGTCCCTTTATTAATCTGGGGTTGCCACAGCGGAATGAACTGCCAACTTATCCAGCACGTTTTTGCGCTGTAGATACCCTTCCAGCCGCAACCCATCACTAGGAAACATCCATTCACATTCATTCACACACATACAATACAGACAATTTAGCCCTCCCAATTCACCTGTATCGTATGTCTTTGGACTTGTGGGTGAAACCAGAGCACCCAGAGGAAACCCACGCTAACGCAGGGAGACGCAAACTCCACACAGAAATACCAACTGACCCAGCCGAGGCTCAAACCAGCGACCTTCTTGCTGGGAGGCGACAGTGCTACCTATATTGTAAACTGATGGGTTCAAATATTCTTTTCCAGTTATCAAAGAAATAATTCATGTAACTGTTAAATTAAAACCTATGAATGGCCTGGGTCTCCACCTTTGCCATTGCCTTTTGTTTTGGTTTTAACAAACTTATCCTTTGTTTTTCTAAACTTTTTAACAAAAACTTTTTTCCTTTCTAGCCAATAAATATTGTCCATCTGGTTCTTCCTATGATTATGAATGGTCGTACCCATTTCAAACAAAATCTCTTCAAAATGATTCATATTCAACTCAAATCAAATTCGGAGCCACGCGAACTGTAAAATGCGTCTTAAACAATTTCATGCACTCCGCCGGCCAAAATCATGTCACGTGCACCAAAAGCAAACCTCTGCAAACACGCGTCACACTCGCCGCACACACTTTAGCGTGTATTCTATTGAGTATAAACCAGGCTTTATGCCTCTATCACACTAGCAGCAAATTTGTAGCTGCCTGTCGCTCTGGGTGGTGACCTGCTGCAAACGCAGGTATGTGTAGGCCTACAGCTCGGAGAATACAACCGGCCTCTGAGAGTGGATCATATGAGCTCTACTGGTACTCCTATTGGCTGTCGCTCAACAAAGTCGCTCATTATTTGCATAACGTTGAAGGATTCTCAACTTTGTGGTGTCGAGCCAATGGTTGATATTTGGCTTGTGTGGCCGGAAGAGACCGAAAGTCGCTCCCTCTCCGTTAAAATAAACGGTCGCTTGACGATTTGCCGCTGTGTGAATGAAGCTTTAACAGTGTAACTGGACTATAAAAAACAAATGTTGTATCTTGATTAGAAAAGGTGTATTGAAACGTGCAATTCTGTGCTCAGAAGGCAAAAAGAGACAAAACAAGGAGTCTTATTACTAAGCCAAACCCTAACTTAACATTTCTGGTCAATGTTTTTGATTAGATTTTTTTTTTATTTGTTGTTGAAATAAGTGATTATTTATTTGTTTATTTTTTTTGTGTGTGTGTGTGTTTTACAGCCTCATAAAGAACCCTGCTGACAGAGCTGACCTCAAGATGCTAATGGTAAGTACATTTCCTTTAGGGGTATTTGTAAAACGACTTGAAAAGATAGTAAAATAAAAGTTTCTTATGGCAAAAATAACATTGTACGACAATGCAAGCTCATTTTTGTGATCGTAAAAATAACAAGTAATGCACGTTTGTCAATTTTTGGCTGTGTTGGTTGAGCAATTAGCTCTAGTTATGACTTGAATAAGAAATATTCCCCCTTCACCTCCCAATCAGTCCTGTAATGCCTGTAGGTTAACAACAGCAACATCATGATGCAATCTACAAGTTCATGCATCACTGCATTTGTGATCAGAATCAAACCAGCATATATTTCAAATAAAGCACATTCACTATTTGAAGTCAGAATCTGCTGATGATGAAATTAACCGTGCTCTTCATTTACAGGGTCACACGTTCATCAAGCGGGCTGAGGTTGAGGAGGTGGATTTTGCTGGATGGTTGTGTAAAACCATGGGCCTTCACCAGCCTAGCACACCCACTCATAGCGCTGAATGAATGCTGGCTCATACCGTTGCCACCCATGCCATCCTCCACTCTACTTCTGTCCTCTTTGCTCTCACAGGCCTGTATGCTTGTAAGCCTCCGACACACCGCTGTGCACTCTTTTGCCGTTCTCTGCTTGCTCTTCCCTTCCGCTGCAGTGCGTTCTGGGGGCATTGTTTTATAGGAGCCTCTGGTGTTGGAACACTTGGTCATTTGAACGAATATGGAGATTTATAGTCACTTAAGTGAAGTGGCTGTATTTTTAACGACCAGCTTATTCAGGAATGTGTCCAAAATGGTTAAGATCAACTGGGTTTTGGTTTTGTATAACAGCATTTTCATTAGCTTTATGATGCTTTTCTTTTCACCGTCTGTTTATTAATTAATCACAATCACAATCTCTGTTGCTAATGTGCCATTCGTTGGCAATTAGCATTACACTGTGTTAAGATGTATAGCCTGGTTCAATGGCAAGCATTTCATTATGAATCAACTGCCGTTTAAAACAAGATAAAAGAATGAGAGAAAACCAAAGAGGGCTACTATGGATTATACACTATGGTTGGTTTATTACTAATTATAAGGCGATTATTATAAATGCAGGATGGCCAAATCACCAATTTATCAAGCACATGTGTACAAGTTTTTAACTTGTGCTTTGCATGGCCAGTCACACCAACAAATGGCCATGCCGTGAGTTTGCACACATTACCACATATTAAAAAAAGCTATATTAAAGTTCCTGTATCAGATGCCCTTAGTTCTGCTGTGCCTGTTAAAAAGATCTCTTTTAGTATTCATATTTGGTTTGAACACCATTTGATCCCCTTAACATTGGCCCTTAAAAATGTTTCATCGCATCTTTCTCAAGTATAGTTTAAATCATGCTTGACTCATTTTTGCGACCAGTGCTTGAACGGTTTTCTTAGAACGTGCTTTATTGAAATAATCTGTAGAAAAGTATATTTGGGTAAAATTATTGTTTGTAATTTATGCTGTAATGTCTTTGATTTAAGTTTGAGTACAACCAGAGTTGCACAGTGCTTTTTCCATGGACTCTATGAATTTGAACACATCCAAATGACTCCAACTAAGACCACAACAGGTACACTCATGGTTTGAACTTTAGTGGTATATAAAGTGCAAAGTAATGTCTCAGGCCACCATGTACAGTGCTATGCAGATCCAATGAACCTCAGCAGATATTACCGTATTAGTGGGTCTTATAAATACACGGGTGTTACAGATGGGCATTGTGAAGTGTGGCTAAAGCCCACTTGTTCTGAATAGCTTTGTGTTTCTTTTTTTTCTTCTCTGTAGTACTTTTCAGTAACATTGAAACCGTATTACACACTGGCATTCAGCTCTGACCAAGTGAATGCATTGCCACACTTGCGTGTATAAAATAAAATATGTACAGTACAAACGGTACTGTTTTTCAGTCTTAAAAATAGCATTTTATTTTTGTTTTGTTTTTTTGACTACTTTCGAGAAGAGGATCTAAGTCATTTTATTACCATATGGAATGTGTTGAATACAGTTCTAATATAAAAATAAAACTTATTTGTGAATGATTACTTCTGTCGTTGTGGTCAGTCTCGTCAATTTCAATCTATTATTCAGTCTATTAAAAAACAAAAAATAATAGGGGCACATATAGTATGTAGCCAGATGAACAGATAATAATGGAAGAAATGGGACAACTTATTAGAAGACATTTTTTTAATTGTATTTTTTATATGTATTAACAATCTTAATTAAATTAAGCTAGTGTCAATACATACACAATTTGCATGACAATGTAGTTTGTATATTGTACGATTTTGACTCGTCGACAGGTTTTGAAAAATCGCTGACAAATGCCTGAAATCACAGGCAAAGCGGTTCTCGTTCATGTGAGTAATCACACAGTGTGAACAATCAAAACTGCAATTTGAGAGATTCACAGATGAATCGCCGACACCCGTGAGATATTTGGCATGCTTAATGTCAGGGTCTCTCGGCGATTCAAATCATGCTGTGTCAAATGTTTTCTGATTGAAAATAACATCAGCGATCCCCTACAGGCAATAAGAGAGTTAAAAGTGCTTTTTTCGGTCTATTTGGACCCAAAAAATGGCTGGTGAAAATTTGGCAGGAGCAGCCGTGTCAATTTGACGTTTCATTCGTTCGCGTGGGTTTCCTCCGGGTGCTCCGGTTTTCCCCACAGTCCAAAGACATGCTGCAGGTGAATTGGGTAGGCTAAATTGTCCGTAGTGTATGAGGGTGACAGGCCAAGAGGACAGGCCGGCTAGAATGAGTAAAAAAAAAGTCGTTATCATATGCAAGTCTAAAATGGCTTTTTCAAAAGAGCCGACCCGGCAACCATACGGGACTAAGGCCAAAGAAGAAGAAGATTTGAGCAATATACCAGTTCGAAAAAAAATAGTTGAGGTGAAATTGCTAATTCCCTTCAAAGCCATGTGAGCAAATAAGTACATTTTCTACCCCACTAGGTGCTTCATTCTCATTATGTAGTTAATGAAAAAGATAAACTGTGTGACATTGCGTTGTTTCCATGTCATTTTTTGCGTGCGTTTGGTTGAGATGTAGTTTGCGGACTGAGACAAAGTTGTCGGCAATTCTTCCTATTCTAAAATCATGCAGTGTTGCCAAACCATTCTACAGTGTAAACACAGCAGCAAAGAAACGCAGCTACAGATAGTCATGCAGTTTGAAAACATCTGTGATGCGACTATTTTGAAAATCGTGCAGTCGGAACTCGGCATTAGTCATTGCTGCACTGCACACCAGGTAGGAGCGAGTTATTACAAAAAACCTAACTGCAGAGACACGTCTTAATACTTTGGCAGCTGCTCCTGAAAAGGCAGAAATACAAATTCAGTAACTCGTTCACCTTTGCGGCTTATTTTAATCACAAATTTTAAAAATATCCTTATTATACCGCCCTCTGTTGCAAATGTATATCACTTCATCATACTTGCCTCCTACTCAATACTCCAGCATTTAAGAAGTGCCTTCAGTAATTATTATGTCCACACCCCGGTTTTACGGGAGAGTCCTCAATTGTACAGTCACTCTGAGAGGTCATATGCTCCTCCTGTTTTTGAAAGTCTCAGTCCAACAGCAGGTAAACTGGCGAGCGGGTCTTAAGTGGTAGAAGACAATCCATGTCTGTCCCGCGGATTGACAGCACTCATCGCTTCTCCCAGTATGATTTTGGTGAGTATGGAATCACAGTATGTGTTTATTTACTTTTAAATATCTGTTTTCTTTTTTGTGTGCTACATTGAATGGAGGAAGAGGTGTCAGAAAGGTGTTACAGAGTCACTTCTGTCTGACGACCCCTTGAGAGTAGGTACACATTGTGAGCTCTTAGTTTGAGACAGTGGAGGGTGTGTATGTGTGTGTGTGTGTGTGTATATGTGTTGCGGGGGGGACTGCTGGCAGACCCTGAGTGTCCTGGAATGTGCCATGGCTTGTTTTGGGGTGGGACTCCATGACCTCAGGCAATGGGATGGGTGGGTGCGACTACATTCGCACACACAGGGGAGAAAGAAGGACGGTTAACTCTCATTATTTTGGCACACACGCTCGCCCAAAGTACACGTGCAACACTCCTGCAAACAACTTTATACAAATACAGGCCGGTTTAACAAGTGACATCCTTGTGAACTCCACCGTTGTGTTAATGGGTTATGGTGGCCACTCTGGCATGATGACAGCCTTTTTACTGTATTCCCCAGAGATGGGCAGAAGAGAGCAGCATGGGGGAATGCTGTTTCTTTAAGAGAGAGGGAGTGAAAGAGAGAGAGCGAGAGAAAGGGAGGGACCTTTTTGCCCTCCAGAAACCAGGAAGGGAATTGAGTTGAGTGCTGGTGCTTGGTTAGCGCATACAGAGCTTTGAACAGCAGGGAGAGCTGAGAGAGAGAGAGAGCTCCACTGAGGAGGAGAGAAGAGGAGGGAGAAGCAAACCCATAACAAGCACCGCCACGGCCATCACAGGTGAGCCTGTTCCACCCCCCAGCTTGTCCCCATGTCGTCTGCCCAGGGCCTATCGACCGAAGGGAGAAAGGCTGAGGAGGAAGGAATGAGGGAGGGGGACAGAGAGGAGAGAGAGAGAGAGAATGTGTGTGGGGGGTAGGAGGGGGCTCCTGTGCCAGTGAGGAATTATTCTTCTTTTTCTTTGGTCATCCTAATAACTGGTTAAGTGCACGTTTGGGTAACTGGCATTGCTTTAATGAACTTCCGATCCCTACAGATGTTTACTTTTTGTTGTTGTTTTGGAGGGGGCCCTAAGGGGTGTGTTTGCTAGATATTGGAGAAGGTAGTAGGAAGGGAGCAGAGTTAATTTGATAGAACAAGATGTAATGCTACGCACTAGGGTCCAAGTTTTTATCTTTGCTGTCATTCATTCGGATACCAGCTCTGATAACTTGTGCACACCCCTTCAGCGTTGGTTTCTTCTAGTCTTGAATTGTTTACGCTGGTTACATCTGTTATGGAATATTAAAAACAAATGTAACTAATTTGGGTTGGGAATGCTGAATATTTCAAATGATGTAGTGTGACTATTAGCTTGTTGTATTAAAGTTCTGCAGAGTTGTGGTTGGATCCTTTTTTCATACGTAGAAAGCTTGGCACTGCTTGTTGGCTGGTCTGTACTTTTAATACCTGGCATCCTGCTAGCAACACACGGTAGTGTATAATTCAGCTCTCAATGCTTACGTTGAAGCAAGCTCGGGGATGTGGGGGTGGCAAAAGTAGACCGTTTGGGACTTGTAGTTCGTAGCAATGGCTTAGAAGCAGGTGAAGTCCTATTTAAGAACTGCACTTCCCAGAGTGCCTTGCCCTTGGCCATACAGGAAAGGGAACAGCCGGTAGCCTATCCTAGTGGGGAGGTGTGGTGATTGAGCAGCAGGCTAGCCAATCACAAGAGGGTGAAGTGAAGCCAGAGCAGTGGGCTGAAAATAGAGTGGGGGAGTTAGTAGGTGTCTGCTTGTGTGGGATCAGGCAAGGGCTTGCCTGTGTAACTAGGGCCACTCGGAAGTTTCTTGTGCAGTTGCTTCAGAGCAGAGCCCTGCCCAAGTACAGAGGCAGGCAGGCAGAGGGAGACTGAGCTGACCCACAGGGAAACACAATTCTGGCCGGCCGGTAAGAGCTCAAAATGCACTCTTACTCTCTCTGGTGTCTGAGATGGGGAAAAACAAGCTAGAAGAGAAATAATGGAATCTTAAAAGGGGAAGAGAGGGACTTGGCTTGATTAAGTTCAGAGCGCTTGACCCACTTGCAGATGGCATAGAGATGGAAAACTCAGGCCTGCTGTGTTAAGGTATGACTTGGTGAGCTTCTGTGCTGCAAATTCCACTTTAACTGATCTTGAATGTTGTTTTGATTGTAGTGTTCTGACTGTCAAATGAAAGTTGCTTTCATTTAAGTTTTAGTCACATGATCAGGTGATGAATTAAATTTGACACATTGGCATTGCTGTTAAGACTGTGGGACTATTTTAAATGAACTTTCTTCACATACACATTAGATACATCCTGTTCATTCAGATCTTTCACAAACTCTTAGTTTTTACCTCTTCTTTTGGCAGATCCTTTGTAGGCTTCTCTAGCTGTGTCATAATGCACATCAATGTTCTCCCTTGGTAAGGGTCTTTAGCTGGGGTCTTATGAATTGTCAAATCAGTAAGACTGCATGTTTGTCCAGGACTCAAAAGGCGTTGCAGGAAGCTGCAGTCTGTTTTGCTCTCTCTCTTTTTTTATTCAAAGATGTATGTAGATCATTTCCAAGCCATACTTGCTCGACTCGTTTTTACCAGTGCGGGTACAGGGAGGACGCAAGGGGTATTTTTATTCATAGATGACGCCCAGTGTCTGAATAATGCACAGACAAGGCTCCTTGTCTCACTGGGGTGAGGCTGTTCTTTATTGTCTTTTGCTTGTTTAAGTGCCAAAGAGATTCTTACCCACCATAAACCAGTTTCTGTACAGTTAACTTACCTGACAGGGTCGTTTCAGGTCAGCCTTTATGACAGGTAAGGTATGTGTGAACTTCATGCTGATAGACATCGTGCAGTATTTTCACTTTTGTATTAACTTAAAGTGCAGCCATGCTTCTTTTCTCCTCAACATTAGTTTTGTCAAACTTTGTCTGCATTTAAAGTTTCAATCATTCACTCACATCCTGTGTGAATTAAACAATATTGGAGTAGATTTTGAATACTTGAGATACAAACTTTATTAAACGTAAAATGGTGAACACAGAACTGTTTTTAGGGACACATAAAGCATTTGTTCTTATGCAGTGGATGATTGAGGGATGAAGGTAGTAGAAGTTACCCTCAGCTTTAGTTTGATCAAACCGTTTAATTCATCATAACTTTTTGGACTCTGAATTGGCTGTCCGGACACGTTTTAGTTTTGATATGTTCAGTGGCAGATTCTGAAACATTTTTTAAAGTGATCAAGTTAAAGACTGATGCTTGGAGATGGGCTGCTGCAAGCTAGCATCGCTATCAGTAATCAGAGAGCTCATCTCATTATTCTCTCATTGTGCTCTTTAAAGGGCCTTCTTCTTCCACTTGTCCTTATCTGCTGAGAGTCTGTCGACACGAGGCCTTCCTCTTGTTTTTTTCTTGACAGTAATTTGGAATCCGATTGCTGTAAGTTTATGCTCTCGCCCCATTCGCTATTGTGGAGCTCGACCTCCAGCAGGGTGGAGGAGTCCTTGACATACTTACCTTAGCGTGATCGTTCAGAGATCTGCTGTGAGGTAGAGCTGAAAAAGGAATCCTGGGTGGGTTGTCGTTTCTTTTTGCCTCCTCAGCAGAGGCAGAAGAGGGAAGTGGAAGCTGTGGTAGACTGGTGGTGGAGTGTGCAGTGCAGTGTCTGGGAGAGCTGGTCATCTGATAACAGAGCGGGTTCTGTTACACCATCACCAGAGTCACGCAGGAAGTCTTCTTCCGCCCAACCGGCCAGGCTGCCGCCGCAGCAGAGAGCTTGAGACACAAGCGATGGCCTGAGCACAAGGGCACCAGAAGGGCTGAAGTATTGCTGCCTCCATTAGTACATTTGTTTTCTGTTTCACATGTCGGTGTGCTTGCTCTTTCCTTGTTTTTCTGGCCCAGCCACATATTGTCCTAAAGACTCCGAAGTTGTGAGCAGCTCAAAGACAACACACAGGGAGTTGGGTCTGGAAAAGTTTGGTCAAACTATGAGGGGGCGTCGTGGCATTTTCACACGTGGGCTTCATCTTCTAACAAAGCTGCTGCTGGTCTAGAGGGATCATGGCACGTTTTTGCAATCACAGTTGGACCTCTTATGACATTCACTGTAACTTTTGTTCAGTTTGCTGTGCTTCTATTTGATAAACTTCCGTACAACTAGGACTTTTAAAGAGATAGTTTAATTTCATTTACTTATTCTTCACTTGTTCAAAACCTTTTTGAGTTTCCTTTTTCCATCGAAGAAAATCGAAGACGATTTAAAAAAAAAAATCTGGTTGCTGTGACCTATTGAATTATAAGGGTCAATGGATCCCACAACAAGCATTATTTTAAATATCTTATTTTGTGTTTAACAGAAGAAAGAAACTCAAGGTTTAAAACCACATGAAGGAGAGTAAATGATGTGGTAATTTTCGTTTTTGGGTGAACTGTGCCTCGAATTTTCCATCAAGGGTCATAGTTTGCTTGCACCTAAACTTTTTTTTGACCTCATGACACTTTTTGAAATGAGGGAGGGGGATTTTGTGTAAACGAAAATCTCAGGACAAAAAAAGTTAAATTGAAAGTCACACTATCTCAAGCGTTTCTTTACACATGCTTCAAGCAGCCTTTCCTAATACCTTTTGGGGGGCATTATGAATTAGAAGTCTGGATTTTTGGCAGCCTGCTAACATATCTCCAGCAAAACAGCACAGCACTACAAGTCCAGTTTTATCAGTTGTTCACCCACTTCCTGCTTGCTTTTTGCAACCAATCATGCTTCCCTAACCAACGCTGGCAGGAGTGACTCATTTGCAGGGCCTTGCTCAAAATCCTGTTCTTCTTGGAACCAGTCAGCCCCTCTCCATACTGTTTACGATTATCCGGTAATATCCTCTCTGCCTTGACCTTGAACCCTGTCAACCTAGTGTAGTGACTCCCCTTCCCTCCCTCATGAAGCAGGAGGAGCTAATTACACACACAAGCTTCTATATACTTAGCGAGCAGACATGTATGTCAGAGGGATGCCCTATGTACATAACTCACATGTTTGTCGTTAATACTCTCAACAGACTCTTTCGAAGGATTCCCATGCTCTTGAGAAATACAAATTGAAGGCCTATAGTGATGACTAAAGTTAGTTAAGAGATGCTGAACTATTTTAAAACCATGCTACTTGTTTTAGCTTATGTCATAAGTCAGCGTGTGTTCCTGGAATGCATGGCCTTGCCTAAGATGCGGGGGCTTATATAGGGACATGTTTCATTCTGAGGTGGCCTTATGCAGTTCATGTGAGCAAGTAGATTTGCTGTTTGGTGTCGTTCAGTGGATTAGCTTTGTTTCAAAGTTAGTTGAGAAGAGAAGCAGATGCATTCTAAGAACTTAATCACCGAACGCATTAAATAACCATGACACAATTTGATTGACAGTAGTTACCTCAGGATTCTTGTAAAAAAAGATTTTACTGTGATGGCGGTGTTATTTTCAACTGGTTACTCAACACTGAACTATTTCTGCTTATAATGGAATAAGATAAAGTGAAACCATGATGTACATGTCTAGATGAATCAGTCTTAAATTTGTTGCTGAAAATTTTTTATCATAATTTTTTTTACGAATAAGTTTCTATTAGCGAAACTAAATAAAATTAGGTGACGATGATGACCACTATTCTAAAAATATACTGACATTTTCGCTGAATAATAAAAATAAGACGAGAATGGGAATGTGGGACGTCATTCTGCAATGTTATTATTTCTTATTGTAAGGATGTAATGATGTAGTACTGTTATCTCCACTTACCAGGGAGATAACAGTACTAAGAAATCAACGAAACTGCCTTGAAGCGAAGCACTTTTTTTTTTTACGTACATTTTTCGCTTTATAATTCCTCTATATGAGCTAACAAAGCCATTGGATTGAGTGCACATTTTACACGATAACACATTATCATTTGCCAGTCATGTGTCATTACTTGACTTATTTACTCAGTGCTATACTGCAGAGCACCATGTACTGTAACTGCAACTACAACTGTAAAGCTTGCTATAGACTGATATTGCAGCATGGAGTTAAACTGTTTTAAGCTCTTTCAAAGATTTAAGGACATAAGTGTTCAACAGATTGGTCAAAATGACTAGTAGTTTACCACATTAAAATAAAGGGTTTGCTAAATAAATCACAAAATCCTGCACTTTCAGTAGTCTACTGTTCTTGCTGACACATAATTTACATATTATATTACTTATGATACAAATAAAAAATGCATATTTAATTTTTGGTCTTTAATATAAAAGCTATATTTCATACTTTAATTAGACAGTTTTTTTATTTAAAGTTGGAATATTTTGTATAAATTAATGTATACAATATTTTAATTAAATTACGCTTAAATTCAACAAAATATATTTTAGTTAACTAAATATAGAGTAGATTTAGTTGACTAAAATGTTATGAAATTTAGTCGACTAAAATGATTTAAAAGACTAAAATATGACAAAAACTAAAATGGATTTTTAGTCAAAAGACTTAGGACTAAAACTAAATCAAAATTTGCTTCAAAAGTTTACTCTGAGATAAACAATTACCGCGGAAATGCCCAAACTAAGTTCCGCGAGCCAAAGTTGGCCTGTTGTAACCTTTAATTTGGCCCACCATCCCATCTATGAAAGAAGTATAAATGATGGGTAGGGTTAGAGCGAATGAGTTTAACAGAAATTGTCATTTCTTTATTTTATTGCTGAGCCACAAAAAAAAGGCCAACTGAAATGACATGTTTCATTTAAACGTCAATTGTAAAATTGTAAATACAGTCACTTGATAGATTAGACTATGCAAAAGACATCTGCGAGCATATCAAGGCAAAATCAGGTGCAGCTTGACTAGCGTAACCCCCTTCTGTTATAAATGAGATTGTTTTTACTGTAATAAGTTATATAATACTGCATTTGTTAATACAAAGTTAAATTAAAACAAAATAAAACATTATTAAATAAATTAGGAAGTACCCATGACAGCTATGTTTACCTTCAGCCCACTAGCCTTAATCTAGTTTGGCTTTTGGCCCTTCATAAGAAAAAGTTCTTGGTTTAGACTATTTAAAAGTCTCTGTAAACTGTTTTGGAAAATGTTTCTTAAAGCTGCCATAATGATGAAAATTTGGATATACCTAGGTGAAGCTGAACAAGAAGTCAGTAGATGGAAATGGAGTGTGAGCCAATGTTTCCTCATTCTCATGTAAATCCTGAGTGTAAAATACCAATCAAAACAAAATGCTGTTGTGTTGCTCACATGATCATGTTTCCTAATGAGATTATGACAATGATCAGCTTTCCTTATTTTTAAGTTCATCTAAGCTTATCTAAACTTTTATGTATATGGGAATCTAATTTTGAAAAATAGGTGAAGCAGGAATGTCCACCACTTTAGCTGAAAAGATTTAAGAAGGGATCTACTCGATGTTAAAATACTTTGAAGAATTAATTCTAATTATTGATTTTGTTGATTTCAGAGAGTGTGAGAGAGCAGGGACTGAGCTGTGGGAGTATCAGAGCAGAGCTCATTGATATTCACAATCATTACAAATATGGTCAATATTATTCTAGGTGTAATTCTGTTTAGAAATGAGCACATAAAACTATTTCTGGAGATTTTTTTTTTTTTTTTTTACTTCCCAAAGTTGCAAACTTTCGTTTTAAATAGCTGAGAATAATTTAACTCATTGAATCAATGTACTATATGGCACCTTTAAGGTTGTCTGGGAGGGGTTGTTAGGTTGGGTGGGGGCTGGGGTGGGATGAGCATTCGCAGTAACTTGTGGTTTGACTTGCAAAGTAGTTGAGGCCTGTGCGTGCGGCCAGCAGAAGAGGTCTGGAAATGAGACGTTGGGGCCGTTGCATGGCCCCTGTCACCCATAGCCATGAATAAGTGATGAAGAATGTTGGGAGCCCTGCGAAGGTGTCAGGATCAGGTTTGTTTGCACTGTTTCCTCTTTCTTTCAGCCTTGCTGTGGGTTTATTCAGGGACAGAGATGCTGCTTAACTGGTGAATTGCTATCACCCACAAACTAAAGTGCAGAGATGACTTTTGGTTTTGAGTTTCCCTACTAGGAACTTCCCTTGTGTTAGCAAGCTACTCCCTTTTAATTAAATGCACAGTTTTGCATTTATATTCTATTGTTTATGGAGGCCAATACATACATATTGAATTCTATAGTGTTTGTTTTGTCCTCAGTGGTGACAGGTTGTCCACTTTCTTTAAAAAGAAGTGTTCAACAGAAGAAAGAAACTCATATAGGTTTAGAATCCCTCCAGGGCGAATAAGCCCTAGAGCAGTTTTTAAATAATCATTTCAAGAAAGTCATTCTGCTTTGGAAAAACATGAGGGTGGGTAAATGACAGATTTCATTAAGTACAAAGCCATTTCTAAATCAAACCGTTTACCTTGATTCACGAGGAACCTGTGCAATGCCTGGAAACACTTCTGTTGTCTATCCCAACCTCCAGCCTGGCCTCTAACTTGACTTATTCAAATTCTGTGATAAAACAATGAGATAGAATTCACCTGTTAGTCAAGCAGATGAGAAACGGGCGGGAGAGTTATCAGAGAGATAACGGAAGACTAAAGACAAATGTGTGTGCCTTCAAAGCCTACCCTACAGGTGCCCATCATTTATCTTAAAGGTGAAGGGAGAGACAGAGAGAAGGGCTTAAGCCATTGGCTTATGGGCATTATCATCTAACTTAAACAAGTCAAGACATGGTCTAGTGGGGCACTATTATTGGAGTAGCTTCACTGAAGTGTGCTATATAGAAGTGTGTAGTGCATACAGTATATGCCCTACATTACAGCATTTCTATCATATTCTGACGAGAAGCTCTTTCACCGTGTGTGTTAACGTTAGATGGTGTGTAAAAACTGCACCCACAAGGTGAGCTGGAATGTCCTGCACAGTAATAGTTCATGCAAGACAGGTAGTGGGGGTTGGATTTGATGCTGTTTTTTTACCTTCCCACTATTTCTAGTGCTACACCAATTGTGATCTGACTTTGTGCCAGCTCTCTAGGTGTGTAGGAAGGCTTTGTGAGACGGAGCAAGCAGCCAGGTTGAGCAGGTCTTGCATACATACCAAGGGGCTTGATCTGAAGGAATGTCATTTGAATGCATTGCTCTTATTGAGTATAATCCCCCCATGGCCTCACCCCCTGCTGGGTCACTCTGGCAGATGGAGGGGCGGGGGGTAGTTAGGCTGTTTGGCTTTCACGCGTGAGCGTGTGTTTTCCAATGGACAAATCAAGGAGTGTTGCCTTTCAGAGCCCCCCTCCCTCTACCCTTGCCTGTACTGCGGTCGATCATTTTAATCTCCCCCCCCCACACACACACATACACGTGATCAAGGGGACAGGCCTTTCCTGAAACTTGGCATTCAGTGCAGGGTGGGGTAACCGGCTCAGACCGGATTGACAACCTCCCTATTTAATACTGTTCCCTTGCAGCCCTGCGTGTGTCCTCCTACTCTTCCTACTCCTCTGGTGGGTTTTTTTCCACTCAAGCCTTTAGCCGGTAACCCCCCTGCCCCCACCCCCTTGCCCAGAAGCCAACTGACACGCAATTCAGAGCACATGGTGCCCAGCCCAACACTGTGTGTGTACTCTCCCACCCCAGCAAAGCAGCACAGTTACAGATTCTCCTTTCCCACTGCTATCATGACAGTAGGCCTGCTGCCCGCTGAATTCGGTCAACATCCTAAACTGATTCCTGTTTGCACTTTGGCATCTCTACTGACACAAGCTGAAGTTAAACTATATTTTTTGTTGGCATTGTACATAACAGATATGCTGTTTGATGGTTGTGAATGCATTTGGGCAACTTTGGGCATGCTGAGTTTGAGTCATGGCTCATGTAAAAAAGCACAATGAATAACCTCCTTATTTTGTGATTTACACCAGTTGCCACTAAACATTGTGTATTTGTGACTCGGTTTGTATTGTGGATACTCTTGACCAGTGGTCTTTAATATAATGACTGCCATTTGGCCAATATCTATTACCCTCTCTGCTTAATTTACATACAGGGCTTGGCTTTTCTACCATGTAATAGACTGCAGAGAGCAGTGACAGGATAAATATTGTTGTAAGTGTTAATCTTAAGAAGCCACATAAATTACTCAAGTTTAAAACTTGTTTTTAATATAGTGTTTGGTTAGTTTGATGGTGATGAGTTAAAACTTGTTTGGAAAATGTCTTCTCTACTCTGTAGTAGTTTTATGTAAAATCTCAATTAGTAATAATGATTTATTCAAATATCTGCCTGCCACATCATCATTTTATGGTGAATAACTGGTATTGTTCCTCAACATTTTCAGACAGGCAGACGGACAGACGGCAGGACGGACGGACGGGTGGCGGCTGCGATTGGCGGCTCGGCGGCAGGCTGGTGGAAAATGTCGTCGGGAGCAGGTGGGCGGGGAAGACGTGATGGGAGAGCCTGTGGGGGTGCAGGCGAGATAGAAGAAGGACCAGTAGGCATCCCTTTCCCTGAGCACAGTGCTGACCTGCTGGGCAGTCTTAACAGGCAACGGCTAAGTGGGCTGTTGTGTGATGTGCTTCTAGTGGCTCAAGAAACAGAATTCCCTGCCCACCGCTCTGTGTTGGCCTCTTGCAGCACCTACTTCCACAATCTTTTCACCTCGGGTCCGGCTGCTGACCGTCAGAAAGTCTATGAGCTGGACTTTGTGCGGCCTGAGGCGCTGGCCGCTCTCTTGGACTTTGCCTACACAGCCACACTTACAGTCAGCCGCAACAGTGTGGTTGACATTTTAAGCGCCGCCCATGTGCTGGAGATCTCACCCGTCCAAGACGTCTGCACACACCTGCTGGACACCAAAGTGCTCTCCCCGCCGGTGGGTAATCAACTTTTTTTTTTTTTTTTTAGCTCAACTGATGCATGTTTTTGAGTGATATGATTATGTAGTTCCATTTCTTTTTGCAGGCGGGCAATGAGCAAGAAGACAATGAGGAAGAGGAGGAGCGAGGAAAAAATGGAAAGGAGCAGGGCATCCGGCTGCGTGCCCGAGAATACTTGGAGTTCTTCCAGAGGGGGGCGCATTGGGGTAGCAGCTGCAGCACGCCAGAGCTCAGGGACCTGCCCGCACACCTGCACTTTAGCCAACGCAATGGCGCTGACAGAAATGGCATACCCATCGGCCCTGCTGACTACTACTCCCCACTGGCCCAGGCCCTTTCACAGCCGCCTCGTGACCCCGAAGACGAAAATGTGGATGAGGAGAGCCAGGATGTAGCTCGAGCTCGAGAAAAAGTTGCAGAGGGTCTGATGCCCTTTTTTGCTCCCACTCAGAATGGACATTACTACCTCCATCAGGCAGACCCCAAATCCGAGAGAGAAGTGGAGGTGACGGGTGACAGGGAGCATAACCAAGGCCCCGCCAGTGCTTTGCTACAACAGATGATGGACTCCTTGGAGCGGAAAAGGGAACGGGGCACAACAGGTGGTGGGGGTGAGGACGATGGGCCTGAGGGTGATGAGCCAGACGTGGAGTTTTACTTGAAGTACTTTAGTGCGCAGCCCGAGGGGCCCACCAGTGCTCCCATATCTCCAAGTCTGGCACCACTGTGGCCAGTCAGGGGCAATGGAGGTGGAAACCAAGCAACTGGAGGGGGCAACAGTGGTGAAAGGAAAATGCGATCCAAGGCCTTTCAAAAGTGCCCCATCTGCTCTAAGGTCATCCAAGGTGCAGGCAAGCTTCCACGCCACATCCGTACACACACAGGAGAAAAGCCCTATGAGTGTGCGATATGCAAAGTGCGATTCACCAGGTAATTTTCTTTAGTAATTTCAATTATAACTCGTAGAGAATTGAAAGCTATATTTTTATATACACTTTAGCTTATTGAATGCGGTCGCATTTCATTTGTCGGGTCTCACCTAAGAGTCTCAGCACACATAAGAGAATACAGTCAGCCATAAAATTGTGTTTTATGTTGACAGAAAGGTTGCATGACAAAGTCCTGGAATTTTAACAAGGGGGTCCAATAAAAGTGGGTGGTGGTAGCACAGCCTGGTCTCCTGTTATCAGGGATGAGGCTGTTATAAAACTCTCCATGCCGATATTGAAAGGGATTACAGCACGATGGCCTTTCTACACCAGTGAGTCAGCTGAACTTGTGACCCTGGGTGTTGCGTTGATTATTGCCCCTGGCACATACAGCCCCTCTTCCAAACATATAGCTGATGAAAAATACTGCTGTGTTACAAGACTGAATCATGGTTCGCAAGCTGTTAGCATGGCTTACCCTGCACTTAAGGGCATCACCTCTTCCATGAAACCATCGCCTTAATGAATTAATCAGGAGACACGCATTGGAAATAGACACTGCACCAAAAATATCCAGTACCCTATTTGTGTAGGGATGGATCTAAATTTGCCACCTAAATACGCCACCTATTGGGAAGGGGGAATTGTAATCTTAATCCTGTTTGATCAGGGTTAAGAGTGCACTTCACTCACACTGCAATAAATCAATCCTGTCTTCTAAATAATTCATCTGTCTGTGACCCACTCCATAAGACAATGGGGGTGTGTGTTTTAACACATGAGGAACGTCTGCATACCTTATATAACCTGTATTTCGATAAATGTATGTAAAAAGTGGAGGAAAGGTGAGAAATAATAAGAGTGAGAATCTCCAGATGCATTCAAACATGTTTGAATACACAAGCAGGCGTCAACGTGTGCACATGTCTATGTTTACATATTCGGGTGTGTGTCTGCCTATGGATGCTTGTGAGCACTTTTGTGTGTTCAGTAAGCCTTCAGTATTCTGGACGGGTCAACCACCCTAGTTTGTTTAGCTGTACTCTGCCCTGGTCACAAGCTTAGAGGGAGGGACTCTGAGGGGTAAGCTGAGAGCAGAGTCTTACAACAGAAGGCCTTGCATTTGACACCACACTATAGCTCCCTTATTGGTGCAAAACAATACACTTTGACAGTAAGCTGTCTCTGGTTGAAGATAGTCTACTCTTTAGCCATTCAGACCAGTTTGCCTCAAGGGTGTGTCAATGTCAGAAATACATGCTAACAAAAGACTAAAAACTTAGTTTTGCTTAAAAAATAAACTATATGAGGTGCACAATTTGTTGCATGATTATTTTACAGATTTAGCCGTGCTTTGAAATGGTTGGAGGACCATTGAGGAAAGACATTAAAGGTTAAACCGCATTCTTCCAAACCTGTTCATCAACCCAGCACACCTTTTGATTTTTAATCTTACATTAGTTTCTTCCCATGAACTACAAGCTCTCCTCTGTTGAACTCAGCCTCTACTGAAGATATCAACTTTTGGTCTTTCACCATTTTGAAAATATCACTTGTGGGAAACCATTGCCCACTATGACCATAAAATGAACATTGAGCTCTTCAGTGCCTCATTGGCCTAAAAAGAAATTTATTGTGATAAAGCTCTGAGCTTTATGGCTCTTTTCCTCATATGACCTTGAGTGTTTCAGCACAAAAGAATGATAAATAAACTTGACTTTACACTTGAAAGTGAAGATAAGGAGGTCAGACTCCTTTTGAGGATACATGTTGTCACTGGTGTGTAAGAAAAGATTTTTGTGTATTCATTTCCTTGGGTTTGTTTTTATTTGTAGTTTATATATTAGTGAATACTTGCTTTAAATAATGATCTATGTGGCTAACCTTAGGCTTAACCTAATCAGGCAGTAGTTAGTGACTCATCCCACCATAATAAACAGACTTTTTAGGACATTAAGTATTGTAGGTGGGTGCGTGTATTAAGTTCTTATGTATTGTATATCACACTATTGTTGATTTCCTAAGTTTGAATTCCTGTTCAGTCTGTCACTGGTAATTTGTTTAATTTGTTCAAACCCATGGGTAGCGCCTCTCTTATTTTTTTTTTATGTGCTTCTTTCCAGGCAGGACAAACTAAAGGTTCACATGCGCAAGCATACGGGAGAGAAGCCTTATTTGTGTACTCAGTGTGGTGCCGCCTTTGCCCACAACTATGACCTGAAGAATCACATGCGTGTGCACACAGGCCTGCGCCCCTACCAGTGCTCCAGCTGTTTTAAAACCTTTGTGCGCTCGGACCACCTCCACCGCCATCTCAAGAAAGACGGATGCAATGGAATTCCCTCCAGACGAGGCCGCAAGCCACGCATTCGAGATTCTGAGCTTCTTGAAGGTTCTCTGGAACTTCATGGCCCGGAAACAGACATCGAAAGAGGTCGACGGCATCCGGACAGGGGCACCATTAGTCACCATCAGTCACCATCAGTCATGGAGGAGAATCATGGTAGTCACACGCACAGTCCTGTTGCCGATGGGGAAGGTAGTGAAGTTTTGACCTCGGGACAAGTGGACCCCACAACTACATGAATAAGACTTTGTCAGAGAGGGCTTTACTCAAAAACAAGAGGAAGAATTATTGGAAAAAATAAGAAAAATTAACTACAAACTACATGGTCCTCTTTAAAAAAACACAAAACAAATCAGGGTGTCACGCAAATCTAACCTTCTAGTTACTTTTTCCTTCATTTTTTAGCTTCTTCATTCCGAATAGAGACTTAACCACCAAGATACTGGTCTGTTGGAAGAGCGAAGAGCACTTCAAATCACTCACCCGTGCTGTCACCATCTTTCTGGGTCTTTTTGTTGGTGTTTTTATAATAATGGCATAGCCATGTGCGTACGAGAAAAAGCTACTATGCAGTTTAAACAAGTTCCTCATCTCTGGGTTGCATCTACTGGGCCTTGTCTTAAAAAGTAAGGTGTCAAACACCAGGCTGACTGCTGCTTCGAGAGGTTAGCTATGAATGGTCTATAATGTGATCAATGCAACCAGTAGATCTCTTTTTCTAATGCAACGAGCAACATGTAAATACACTATAAAGTTATATCGTCTCAGATTGCAACATATGCAATGTTCTGATGCAGCACCTTTTTTCTAAATGTTCCAGAAAGAATTGGGCAGGGGGTTGATTTAAAGTGTTACTTTCTCTATAAACTTTCTTTTTTTTTTTTCTTTAAGAGTTTATGTGGTGTAACAGGTTACCGATCCGAGATGAATTCACATGGGGAGAACTTGTTCATTTGTTTCTAGCAGGGAGAGGGTAAGACAAGGGATGAGGTCCCGTGTTTCTAAAGCACTACCTTCATCTGATCGCCACTGGGCACAATCATGTTAAATCTTACCTCTCACAGGCCTGCTTTTCCTTATTGGCAGTCTTGCATTTTACCTTCTCTTATTTTGGGGATTGTCTTAATAATTTGTTATTTGATTTCTCTTTTTGAACTTTGAGTTGACTATTTTGGGTACTTGACACTTTACATTTGTATACGTGTGTATATATTAGGTTGTAATCTTATGATACCCTTTATAAGAGATATATTACAGATAGATAGGGTCACATCTTCCTTCAGCTTCACTCCAGGTTTCTCACTGCGTTAAGTTTGCAGGGGGAATATGCTGTTTGATGTTTTAGAGCATTATAATTGAGAAACCCATTTTTTTTCCTAAGCTGCACTTAATGGAACCCAGAAGTTCCCGCCCAAAGTATGAGTTGTGATAAATGTGCTTCATTTCGAGTCTTTCTGCAGGAGAGTGAAACTGTATGCAAAAGATGAGTGAGGGCACTGCTGTTATACAGACAGTCAGTGGAAAACTTAAGCAGGGATTCTTTTATTTGTTCGTTTGTCCGTTTGGCAGAAGGAGAGAGAAAGAGCCAGGCACCTTTTTATGCATTTGCACTGCTTTACTAAAGATTTCCAATGGAGATGTAGAAATATCTATTTAAGGAGACGGTTTGGGTTGAGGAGATACAAAGTGCTTACTCGAGTTCTTAGTCCAAGGGACCACAGAAAAGAAAACTGAAAGAACCTAAGCGATAAGGTGAGCAATAAAATAATGTTTAAGTCTAAATAAGCACATAGCTGTAGTAGAGTAAGGGAGGGGGTCCAGTTTTTAGTATCTGAAACTTCATCAATTAATGCAATGTATATAAATACAAAATAGTATAATACAGACTTTATAACCTTTTCACAATGCAAATCATTGGCCAAAGTTTTGAAAGCAAGTGTCCTGAAAACGAGACCTTTATTTTAAAGTAACATGTGCTTCCTTGCACTGTTGGAAGCGGGTGCAGCAAGATCCTATGGCCACATCAGAGCAGGATGACTCATTGAGAGGGGCCTGCAGCGTCAGCATGCACTTTGTGGGCACGTTAAGACAGGCTCCCCCAAAATCCAGCAGAATAGGTGCTTTGGTTAAGTTAGGACTCTCTTTTAAATAAGGTATGTGTGAGGGCAAGAATTGACAAAGGCGGAGCCGATGAAGTGGCAGATTTGAAAGAGATTTTCCAGGCGCATGCATCCTAAAAGCAGTCTGTGATCCTTGCTAAATCTTTCAAGTGGATCTCTATGTATACAATAGCTGTGGATGACCCGTTTTGAGGATGTAATTTGTGGCATCATTTCTTCCGCAGTGCTGTACCCTGTTTGTTGGCCTTTTGCACCTTAAAGAAGAAAGATTTGAATGCACTTTGTTACTTAGAAGGGCACTTTTTAGAAACGGGTACTTTCAAACAAAAAAAGCAAATGTGCTAAAAATAAAAAGGCCCATTCGAGTGGTGATACTTTTTTTTTAAAATAGTAATTATTTTGGCTTGTTCATATGCGTTCCATTTGTTTAAGTCTTGACACCGAGCTGCCAAAAAAGTGCACAGTCCTTGAAGAGAAGGTACAGGGTGTAGATTTCGTTCCAGTTGTTGATTGATGACGTTTAACTTAAGAGAGGCTAACAAAAGATGGTTATATATATATATATATATATATATATATATATATATATATATATATATATATATTTAGATAAGGATATATGTGCAGATGCATAATGATTAATTGCACTTGAAGCTGATTGAAAAGTTCTCTATGTTGTCTTAATACAGATGACCGTAAAGATGTGGCAGCATCTGCAGGGATTATTGTCTAAGATCTACAACTACAGTTTCCATTTAAACCAACTATATTCTGTCAATGACTTTTAATATGCTGAGTTGGGCTGATCAAATGTTGTGTTCTGTTTGAATTTGTTGTTAAAGGCCACACCCTTAGCATCACACTACTGTAAGTTTTTGTGTGACTGGACGCCACGGCAGAAATAATCCTTCTGGAAATTCCAGTGTTTTCACACCCCAAAACACTCAGTTAATAATACATCACATGCCTGCAAGCGTTTGTGTGGTAACACATTGACCTAGACCATCTCTTATCTACTTTCACTCATCTCCTCTGATCATCCAATAGTTTGCTGTAGATTTAATTTTCGGGGATGTTTTTGTCCTTATACCACAACCCAAATTTATCTTCCCTCATTACAAAAACAGAAGTTGGAGTGGAATTGTTGTGGAATAAGCCTACTTGAGTTCCCTTTCTGTTTATAGTTTTTTTTCTTCTGTGATATTGAGAAATGTTAAACTTTTGTTATGCTTTTTTGATTTTGTTGAAAAATATGTTGCTGGGCTTGTTTGTTTTTTGTAGTAAAAATAATGCTAGCTGTGTTTATGGGTTTTAGGGTTAAATGGTGGTGGATTATAGGGAGGGTTTGGTTGGGTGGGAGGGCACGGGAGGTACAAACCCTGATAGCACTGGAAATGGTGCTTTAGCTAAGAAAGAGTTTTTGCACTAAAAGTCACTCATGTCCTTGTCCTTGGAGGAGGGGGACCAGAGAACTGGGCAAGGCCTTTGAGTTTCTGTGAACACAAAGTCTGTTTAATCTCCACTTCACTTCCCTGTACTTACATCTGCAATTAACTCTTTGAAAACCAAAGTAGGGAAAGACTAGGATTACTTCAAGACAGTTCTTGACCACAAAAGGAAGAGGCGAATCCGAAAAAATTTGACAACAACGTAAACAAAATCATTATAAGACGAGTGTAGGTCAAGAGTCCAATGCAACTCCAACAGAAATAAGCAGCTTGAGTGAAGACAGTATTCACAGAATGGCTTATTTCCAATGGTTAACAGGATCAAACCCTAAGCATCTGTGTCTACGTAGCAGTTTGGTGGAGTTATTAGAGGTCTTTGTGAGTTCACACAGACTCATTGGTTTGGTCTGGATGTAAGCTTTGTTCAGTGGGTCCAAAAAGGAATCGGGGCAGAGTCTTGAAGCTTGATAAGTTGAGAAGGATTGTGAAGAGAACGTGCCTTAACTTAAAAAGAAGATTGGAGGATTCTTCAAAAGATGGCTTCCATTCCTGCTTCCCAATTAATTCTTGAATACTTGTGTTTTATGTGTGAACATTTCTGAAGAAAGGTTGCTGAATCTTTGTTCGGAGATTGTCTAATGCACCTCAACTTGTAAATACAACTAGTTAAAATTGTCTCCTGGGTTGATTGCTGATTGTGACATCTTTCGTTTAGCGCTGCTTATTGCTTCTGCCCTTATCTCGGGACTCCCCTTACAGACACTACAGTGGGAGTGTCTTAAAGAAAACCCATTTCCATGACTTCAGAAGCACCCTGTTTGTAATTTCCAAATCTTAATCTATTATGTTTAATTTATTGGCCAGGATGTCAAACAAATATTTAAGATTACAATGACAGTGATAACCGTAATAATGATAGAGGTTTATCTTATTGCAAGATTTAGATGTTCTGTAGATGCTCTGGCCGGGTGAAAGCACAGCTTGCTGAGGGTGATACAATACATGGCTAGATCCGCACAGTTGTTCTCACCTGATCCTCTGCTGTTTGATGCCCAGTGGGCACGTTGCACAAGGAGAGCGGCTCATGGGTGGTGGGTACTAGTTTGCACAGATTGGGGAGGGTGGGTAGCGTTTTTGTGCAGGTCGGGCAGGGGAACTGTGTCTTAAGAAGGGGCTTTGGAAAGCCTTGTCAGGTATCGCTGTGCCATGTGTACCTAAGGAATTTATAGCCATCTACTTCTTTGACTGCCTCAGCTGGTTATGTTTCACTGATCAAGGAGATGTTCTGGAGAGCAGATGTCAGAGGCTGTTGTAGGAGGCAGGGGGATTTGGGGATTATGGGCCATTGTCTATGCTTCTCAGGTTAAACAGTCACGGCAGTCCATGTCCACTTTTGTTATTTGGTTTAAGCTCAAATTTTGCCTTCTGTGTAATCAAAGCTTTATTGTACTGAGAGTACACCAACCGAATATATGTTATGAGTTTTGAAGGTGATACCGAAAAGCCAACTACCCATGTGACCACGGCACCCTCACTTTTTTGTTTTGCCTAATAACTGTATGTTCTATTCTAGCGTAGAAAAATAACGGCAGTGTTTCTAGACATGTTTTTATCATTCTAGAACAGCGAGTAGGGCTGTATTGTCTTTGAATGAGGCCAAGACAGCAGTGAATTGTGGAATGGAGACATCAAGTCTAATGCGCTCCACAAGTCAAGGATGCATTCCATAACTTCCTCTAAATAGTTGTTAGAACGAACAGATGCCGGTAGACGGAAATGAGGTGGTTTTTTAAGTTTGTTTCTTTTTCCTCTACCTAGAATGTGCAGGGAAGGGAGCGTGTTGGGCTTCACACAAAGCCATCAAGCTGAAAGCAGTTTTG